GGGTTTAGGGGTCGAGGGGTTGGTGTAGTTTATGTAAATACAATAAACAGATACATAAACATATATATATATATATTATTATATATATATATACATACATGATACCTCTATTTATGAAGTGTATATCTATATATATATATATACATGCTAGGAATTCGAAAGAGATCTATGCCTTCCAATTGTAACCTTAGGCCCTATAAGGCCCTAAACCCTACACCCCAAACCCTAAAGCCCTAAATGAAAGCCTAAAACCGAAACTCTACACTCGAAACCTCCTAAACCGTGATCCCAAACAAAAACGACTTAAATACAAACCTGGCACCAGGACACCAGAGGTTCGGGCCGTGAGCTGGTGTGTATAGTTTCTATACAGGGATTACTTGCGATTTTGATCGGGTTTTGATGGGGTGATGATTATATCGCTATATACTGTTGCACAAAGTACCGTACTTCTATCAGCGAGCCTCAACATCATCCTCGAGCTGATCTGGCTGACTCGCTCTCGTAATGTTGTTGTTCAGCACGACATCGGGATTCGGCAAACCTGCACGTGCAGGCTTAAAAGCCGGGATAAGTAAATAACTATGTACATATATATATATATACATATGTGCGATAAGTAGTAGATACCCTCGGTGCCTTCAAGGGCAGACTTCACCAGGTCCTTGAGGATCTGGATTTTCTGCTTCCTGTGCAATGCATCATTATATACAAAGCATGATCTAGCTAGTGTTCCCGGACCCATACATGGGAGCTTGAATCCTCGAAGAATCGGGAGCACGAGAAGCGAGGAACAACCCGTGGACCGCGATAGTTCTCCCAACCGCGGCTGTCATGTTTGACCAGTCCTGCAAGCTTAAATGTTTTCCACTCATCCAATAATATATGCATTGCACACCTCCTGCAGATGCTAGCGGTAGCGGTCCTTTATGATCTTTTTCTTGGTGCCGCCGGGGAAAAAGCCGTATCTGATTGCCAGCTTGCGAATGCATGCCTTGCAAGGGTTGGGGTGGGTGAGGGTGAGTTGCACATGTAACCTAGAAGCATGCAAATACCATCTTATACCCGAAGTCCTTCCAGAGTTTCAGCGGTGGAATCCCAAGCGGGGCGAAAACGGAGTACACATCCATCAGAAAGCGGAAGTTGAGCTCCACCTTAGCTGGGATATTCTATACAGCTAGCCTGTAGACTTATCCGCACTATATTGCGATTATTGTTGACAAGCTACGGAAGCGGCACTGTCCGGCCCTTCGGAGGCCACTTGAAACACTTGACCCTGCACGGACGGACGTGTTAAGATACATGTATTTTGAATACAACTGCCAATGATGATAACTACGTTGTAGCCCATGTGCCCTGCCTGATTTTTGCGAAGCCTCAGCAGAGCCTCCTCGTCATCCACCATGAGGCTCGTAAGGATGTCCTGCACACGGAGGTTCATGAGTAAACAAGCAGTATGTATACGTATGCGTAGATGTATGTATGTGTGTGTACATGTGTGCATAAATAATTATTTTTTTTGCACAGATCATGCAACTTGCTCATACATTGTATTGTATAAGCATGCACATATAGACACATATACATCTTTGCTACACACACATATATATATAAATACATACATGTCCATATATACATACACATACACACATGTACATGCTACATGCATGCATACATACATACCCATATACACACATGCACATGTATGTACAAACATTGATACTATAAAAAAACATGTATATCAGTGTTAAGGGCAGGCGACTCGAGAATGAATTCGATTTCGGGGACGAGGATAAGCTAAAGGGTATCGGTCCTCCAGCATCACCCCGGCTTCGAAACCATCATGCGCCCATTTCATGTAATGGGGCACCGACATGCTCATGATCACACAGACTGGCCTGGCAGTGGCCTGCTATAAGCATGCGAACATGCACTCATGCCACATGAGCAGTCTGCAAAATCCTTGAAATCCGAAGGACGGCATTGCATGTATGCCACGGCGACCACAATGCAACATGCACACAATCCCAAATGCAGAGCCGGGAGGGTGCACCAGGTTGCTCGTCCCATTCAGCACGAACATATTCAGGAATCGCTGGCGGCCTGCAGTGTGGAGGGTCCCATCAGCCCGATAAGAGAATCATGTATGTCAAACTTGAATATCATACTTAGGATAAGTTTGTTTCTTTACTATAATATTAAATATAATTATTAGACACATACAGAATAGATCGAAATGGGCATGTGCATCATGGAACATGCATCCGGGCACATATGAAGTTTTTCTAGCATTTATACGTGTTAACTTAAATAGATATAATACGGGAATCTCATTTAATTATGCTATTCCATATATATATATATATATATATATACATTTTTTTATCTGTTGGTATATTTAATTACGTACACACACACACATATATATATAGATCATAAAACCTCAGGCTCGCAATGCAAGTCAAATAAAACATCGAACCCGCCTCGGTAGGAATGCTCTGTAGTCCACCGCGGTCGGCGCTTGCTGCCTGCAATCATGCACGTGGGCAGCTCCCCCCCCACACACACACACATACACATGCATATACATATACATATACATATACATATATACATATACATATATATATATATATATATATACAGATGTATAATATTACATACATCCCAGAGTACAGTATATATATATATATATATATATGTATATACATATAATCACACACCCAGAGAGTGTGACCCTGATCATGGGCCTGCTGCTTGATGACGGGGCTTCCGGCCGGTCTCGAGATGGCTGCCTGAGCACGGGTGGGTGTGGGGTGGCCGGGGAGGGTGGGGCTTCGATGTCACAGCCTTGGATCTGCACGACGGGGCGATCTGGATCGAGAGGGCCGCCTGGGTGTTGCGACTACTTCTAAATTTAAACGGTGAACGGGTAAAAATGCCTCGTAGACGACGAAGAAGCCAGTGAACCAAAGCGCCCTGAAGTCATGACACACACACACACAATGGATATGAACAAAAGTTGCACCATGATATATAATGGTTGGTCTCAGGCCCTAGCCGTATGCTCCGGCTCGCCACATCCGGATAAATCATCGCCGCACCGGGCCTGTTTTAGAGCAGAACTATCGTATATTTGTACGAATATGTACGGGCAGCACATTGCTAGGACCCAGGCCCACCACGGACCATCTCAACCACGACCGCACATCAGGACATGCCAGCGAAGACAGGTCGAGGAGTCTGTATAAGAAAAACATGTGCACTCTACTATACGACATTCGTCGTAGATGCATACGTACATGTATATATTTCTATCTATCTGTATATACATGTACATAGATATATGAAAGACATGCAAGTACAGGTGTGTACATACCTCTGTGTGTATATATATATACATGTATCATTTGAATGCAGACACGACGATACCACAACGGCATGTCCACATACCCTTTGATGTATATAGCCTGGCAGTCGGAGCGAACATACCTTTAATTTTACACATAGAACCTAGCGAGACATTGGAATCAACTGTTCAAAGCTTGCAAGCCCGCCGTTTCCCATAAACACAAGCTATTCTCTATCAAACGAAGGCCCTTTTCTATTAAGCAGACCCCCTTATCTATCAATGTTGGTCCCTGGGACCTACTTGGCTATGTGTGCCCCTGGTCGGGACTTGCACAAGTCAGCACCGGTTACATACACGGAGTGTCGGGGATTGAGGGTTTGCCAGAAGCAGTTCTTTGTGGATTTACAAGAGCTGGTGCAATAACCGAAGATGGCGTGCAACTACGTCATCACAGCCCCATTGACTGCGAGGCAGAGCAGCAACTTGGAGGCGAAGAATGTGGTCTCGTGGCACTCGTGGAGCATGTCAGTGGGGAGGCTGGTGAGTCGCGGTCAGGCCATTTCGTTACGTGGGCCAAAGAAGGGACTGGATGGAAATGCTGCGACGATGCAATCGTCAAGCTTCACCCGAAGCTACCGAGAACAGTTCCTTCGAACGTCGTCTTAGCGTTCTACTCCAAACGGCAAGCCGCTGCGCGCGAAGCCAGGGAGTTGCCAGCACCCTCTGCCGGCCAGACTCAGACTATCCGCGCATCTCAGGAACCATCCGCTCAAGTCGCAGAGTCAGTTGAAGCGTGCGCAAGCACGCCCAGAAGCAGGCAAGCTCGCGAAACTGCCGAAATGCCGCAGGGCTTGCTGCCTCAAGACAGCGACGGCCATCTTCAGTTTGAAGCTTCCGTCGCGGCATTGCTGGAAACATACAAGTCCGGTGAAGATTGCGCGCCGACGCTGGCGTCCTTGCCTTTGTATTCTTGCGAAGTTCTTGATCCTTCCTGGAGCGACTTGCGTGGTCGACTTGACAGATGCTTGCAAGAATATGTGCAAGGCAAGATCGTGGCGGCCGACGCTGTCTATCTGGCGACCCCCATCTGGAGGACAACTTTTTTCCCTATCGCAGTCCTGCTAGAGGCCTGGTCGCGAACGACAGGATTGCCGACCCTCTTTTACATCGATTCCTTCTTCGCGCTGTTGGCCAGCTTGTTGAACAAGCAAGTGAGTTATAATGTTGCAGGCTTCGATGTGCGAGCAAGATACTGGGCCGTCGGCACGGCGTCGCCGGGCTCCGGCAAAAGCCCGGCTCTGGATCCAATGAAGGAGGCGCTGTTGGAGGTTTTGCGGGAAGACCCCGACCTCGCGCCGGGCGGGCCCGGTGACGGTTTCCACGTGCAACCGGTGGGCACCCATGCTGCCGCTGTAGACAGACTTCGATGCACAGGAGGTTACCAATTTATCGGAGCAGGGGAATAGGAGGCCCGGTTCTGTGCCCAGCATGGGCGTCCTCTTCGACATGGACTCAAGGAACGCACATTAACTGGCAAAGATATTTGGACGCAGCTACAGGTACGGTTGCAAAAGATTAGAAAGGTTGGTGTAGGTAGGTGGGAGCCTGGCGGGTCTTTACGGTCAGATTCTGTTCTAAAGATGAACACATGTATTCAGGTGGTCCAGTTCCCTGGGAAACAGCAGTGGAGCGACAGGCACGTCGACGCAGTGCAGCCGCGGAAGAGCACGATGTCAATGTCGTCGATGAAACAAACGTGTCCGTCGTCATTCTCCAGCAATGGTCCTTGCTGCCCACATGGTGGGCAGCTTCAGAAGAAAAGTGCAGCATCGGCCTGGCTGGGCGCTTTGTTTTTTCCTTTGCTGCTGCCGGCGAGCCTGGGCCTCCGCAAACAGCGCAGTTTGGACAGCAGGTTGCCCTGCCTATCCTGAAACGCATCTTCCGAATTGTGCTGCGAACCTTGGGGCCACACTCTCCACTGCCCACCGATAGCCCTCTGCTGAGTTGGGTCGCAGACGCCGAAGGATTGCAGGCCGTGTACGAGTTTCGGCTGCTGTGTTCTGATCTAACCAAAACTCTCGACATGGACGAGACCTTTGCGTCTTGTGTCAACAAGTCTGGCTACTGGCTGACGACTATTGCTTTTTGGACAAGCGTCCTGAGCCAGGTCTGGCCGCGCGCAGCAGGCGGCCGAGACGATGTCGTTCTACATGCACAAGTGCAGCGTGACTCGTTGAAGCTTGCCATGGAGTTCTTTACTTCCAGGTTTTTGCAAGGTGCAGCAGTGCTTTCTGCAGATGTGCGCGGTCGCACCTGGGTCAGGAAGCGGCCGCCTTGCATCGCCAAAGCGAGCCAGCGGTGGAACCTCGCTGCATTGCTGCTTCTCAAGAGTTCGTGCGGTGTCAGCATAACAGCAGCCGTGGCCCAAAGAGCAGGCCCGATGTTCCGCGGCCTTGCAGCAAGCCCCGGAACGGCGACCCGCGCAGCAGCGGAAGCGGCTTATGTGGAAGCCCTGGAGTATCTGCGCGTGCGGGGGTTTGGGGTTGTGCAGCCAGCCCTCGACGGCAAGCTCCCTGTGTTCCTGAAGAGACACTATCAGTCTTTGCCGCAGTCTTCCAGAGAGCAGCTGGCCCAAGCGCACGTGCCAGGAACCGTGTTTGGTTTGCATATTGCAGAAGCAAGTTGCGCTCGCCCAGGCGCCGACGCAGCAGCATTCTCAGTCGGCTTGGCTGCGCCCGACGCAGCAGCCCCCGTGGGCAGCTTGGCTACGGTCGCGCTCGCGGAGGACAACACCGAAGTCATTGGAAAGACAACAAGCAGCTCCGACAGCAAGCCGCTAAATCGGCAAGCTTCTGCAGCAGGCAAACGCGCGGGCATTTCGGGTGCAAGCATTCCAGACAAGGCTGGCAAGGATTGCCTCAGTTCGTCAACGCCTCGTGAAGCGGCGGAAGAAGCAACAGTGCGTGATGCTCGCGAACAAGACCGCGACGAAGACCTGGGCGCGACCTGGGAGGTAATCCACCAGGGCCCGGTGGACATGTGCATCCAGAGCTACACGAGCTTTCGAGAAGCAGTGGAGCAGGTACTAGGCTTGAGCAAAGACGCAGGCATCTATGATTTCCACGATCTGGGGCTGGAGCGTGGTGTACGCAGATTGAAAGGCGCGTGCCGGCCTGAAGCCTGCAAAGGATGCACGCAGCGGGTGCGTGCAGAATTTGGCTTTGAAGCCGGGCGGCCGAGTCTGAAGGTTCGCACGAGGGGCAAGCATGGGGAACTTGCGAAGCCAACTGGTGGATCTCTGTGGACAGTGGCCGAGGAAGTGGCGATCCGCAGAAGCTGTAAAGATGCAGAAACCCTCACGAGTGTGAATGTTCGCCAGTGTCTGAAGCAGGCGGGGCTAAAGCTTCGATGCGAATCACGGCAGCTTCACCAATGGGTGACAAGACAAAAAGCCAAGCTAGGAGTGCAGACGAAGCGAGGGCCAACGTCTGTTCGGGCAGGGGAACTACAAATTGCGGCGGCCCCTTTCCTGCTCAAAGATCTTGGAACGTGGGAAACGCTGCCTTTGCATAAGCTCTTCGTCTTGCAGGATCCAGCACCTACCTTCAATGAAGAGCGTGTCTGCGTCGCGTGGACTTGCCCAGGCATGCTGCGGCGGGCTCGTGCCGCGCAAGGAAAGGTGATCAAGCTGGCCATCGACGGAAAGCAAAGCATCCTCATCAACGACTATACCGTCGTGACCGTCAGTTTTCTGGTGTGCAGTGAGCAGGTCAGACCGACAAGACAAGGCGGTGCCAGGACAGGCAGTCGCCAGAACGCTCACACCCTGACCCAGGAGCCGTTAGCCCAGGCGCTCATGAACACGGAAAAGGAAGCCAACATTTCGCAGTTCCTACGCACGCTGGAAAACGTGGCTAGCAAATGCTGCGGCCTTGACCTAAGCTACCAGGTCTGGCAAGTCCACAAAGACTACGCCAAAGGCATCGAGGCGTCCCGCATCAATGTATTCCCTTGTGCACGACCGTGCGATGACTACCCACATATGCGGAGAGCATCGCATAGCGTGCTCGCGAGCCTGCTCTCGCCGAAGATTCCGTCGGAGCCTCAGAAGTTCTTAGAAGCCAAAGTCACGAGGTCGACCGAGCTACTTTAAAGACTATATAGGGTTGCGCTACGTCGTTACGTCGGATGTGCATGCGCTCCGAGTGATTGACGGTGTCTAGCTGTTGTCACACCAAGGCAGAACAGTTCCGCAGCAGAGGACGAAAGCAATGCAAGGCAGGTCCGGCAACCCCTTCCCTTCTGTGTGCGTGCGAAGAGTCTAGAGTCTAGAGAAGTCAAATTGATGTCACACAGCGCAAAGACTGCGTGTCTTCTGCAGGCGGTCGAAGCCAGCCGAGACGAAGCCTTTGCAGCTGCTGGAGAGAGTGATTCAACTGAGTCGGTTCTTGCCGACTGTTGTTCTGTTTGATGCGGTGTGGCAGCTAACTTTTTCGTGGTTGGAGACCGTCAGCAAGAAAGCCGCGACCTACTTGAAGCAGACGTACTTTCACAAAGTGCCAGTCTCGAGCCTTCGCAAGCAGATGCATGTAGGGCAGCCAGTGGGAAAGTCCGCGGATGCCAGTTGCTGGTTCGCCGGCTTCTGGGCAGGCGTAACTGGCACATACCCAGGAACTGGGTCCGGGACACAGTCGCTGGAGAGCTTTCACGCATACTGGCAGGCGCAGGTCCGGTCCAAGGTAAGGACAGCTCCGACCGACATATTCCGAGCAATGGAAGATTTGTACAAGACCGACTGGTGCAAGAAGTTCATGTGGGAGGAGGCGCGAAGCTTCTTGACGTGGCCAGACCGTCCTGCGCTGGACCTCTTAAACAGCACCATGCTGCGTACTGCTGGACGGTCGCCTGCGGCAGACTTTTGGGGTCAGCGGGCGAAGAAGCTGACGGGTCTGCGTAATCATTTCAAGATCTGGCGCCGCACAGACAAGGCCAAGGGCCAGGACGGCATAACGACTTTCTGGGTCATGCGGTGCCAACGCCACCAGGACCAAATGCCTGCTGATGCAAGCATCGACCAATCCACCGCCGAGACTTTTGCAGACCTGCTGACCCTGGACGGCACAGAACTGCAGCGGCTGCTGACCAGGTGCGGTGTGGCAGAGGGAGACGCAAACAAGCAGCGGCTGAATGCGAATGCGCTCGACAAGCTCCTGGGCGTACACTGCGCAGTCTTTCGAGGCCACCTGGCCGATTCCCTCTGGCCGCGTGTGCGACGTCGGCTGCAAACCCCACTGCCATCCACGCTCTGCACATGCATCGAGTTCATGCAGCACGCAGAGTGCGAACACATTGTCTTCGTGAAGGCATTGGAAGGGGATGCAGATGCAGAGAATCTGAATGAGGTTCCTATCCTGCGAAAAAGAGGACGTAAGCCCAAGCGGAAGGCAGACGCGGAGATGAAGTCTGCATCTGCGGCAAAGCGTCGCAGGCAGCAGAAGTAAGCGCCGGTGCCGTGAAAAAGTTGTTACCGCTGAGACAGCCTCGCCAACTCCCGCCCAAGCATACCCGAAATCACACACGAGCGTTGTGTTCGCAAGCGTGTAATCCTTTTTTCGAAGTCCAGCATGCGAGTGTCGGTTGTTCTTTTGAGCGCTCAAGCTTGCTTGTAAGCAGTATGTTTGAATCCTCTCCAGACTCATCATGCGAGCGTTGAATTTGCGACTTGGCGGACGGGGTCCGCGGCCGTAGGATAAGCCTGCCTCTCCAAACCCATCATGCGAGCATCGTGTTGCACATGGGGAGGCCGTGCCCTCCCAACCCTTCCGGTTTCCTTTGTCGATCCTTACCCTCCTTTAAAAGAAAGTGCAAATGCCTTGTGCCCTGATCACTTTGCCTCAAATGTGTGCCCGACGAGCCGAGCCGGCCTGTACGTCTTCGAATGCCTACAAGCCACTCGGTTTTAAGGTTGGACATAGGGTTTCAGGAAGAGTTCCTGGCCATGATTCATTATCGAATTCAAGAGGTCATGAGATACAAATTCAAGCATGGAGATTCATCACCTGCTTCGGCCAGTGTGCCGAATGACCCCACGAACAGGGCGAGGCAGCTCTTTACAAAGAGCGGAATGCCTCTGCCGTCCCACTGTACCCCACGTGCATCCACTTGCATGTCTGTTTCACGTATCACTTGCATGTATCCAGGTTCTAGCAGAGTACTGATCGACAGCTGTGAGCCTGAGCTCTTTACAAAGAGCGGAATGCCTTTGCCGTCCCACTGTACCACACGTGCTTCCCATGCATACATGTCGCAGTCCATGGGCCTATAGATTAAAATTTTCGTAAACATTCAAGCTTGAATCTTGCCTTCCGAGGTGGCTCTGTGCGCTCGGAAGAGTCCGAGATTGTGTCGGGTGGAGGTCAGGGCGAAGGGGACAGATGTGAAGGTGAACCTGGAGCGGAGTTTGAAGATGATGAGGAGCTTGCTGGTGCGGATGATGCGGCGTCTGCTGGTATGGATTACGCAGAGCCTGGGGACGCACATGTACCGAGTGTTTCCTAGAAGGTCTTGGCCACATTGTAATGAGTGTGGGACACGTGCGTGTCGAACTTCTGCTACATGCGCATTAATTAGACATGTCCCTCCGAGCTTCAACTCAGGCTTGCCCTGCGCGCAAACTTGCGCAACCACGACGTCTCAGCCCGTTGCTTGCGTGTGTACATACATGCGCAAGTCCCTTTCCCAAGAGCCCGCGGTTAGAACAGTTGTGGCTTCCAAGTTGAGCTTCTTCATCGTCGGACCCCAGTGCGACGCCGGCGCGGCGACACAAAGATTGCATGTACCATGCATGCGTTGAAGTGTATATAGGTATGTGCAGGAATGAACGACTGTGTGCATTGCCACCAGCCCAGGACAATTGCAGATCAGCCCCAGGAGCCAAGCCGCAGCTCGAAAGGAACTCTATTGAATGAAAGACAGAAAGTATAGGGCGACTCGGAAACAAGGTTTATCGACCAAGATCTGCAGGAGAGGAAGGATTTGCATCTTGTCTATGACTTCCAGGATCTGGGTGTGGAGCGTGGTGTGCGCAGATTGAAAGGTGCATAACGCAGAGATTGCACGTATCTTGCATGCGTTGCAGTGTATATAGGCATGTGCAGGAATGAGCTACTACATCAGCAGGATGAGAGTTTTGTCGCACTAAGATGTCTTTGCTTGGCGGAGGACTCGGAGTACGAAGAAGTGCATTTTACGTGGCCTGGCTAGCGGAGGAATTTCCATGCCAAAATGAACATACCCTGTTTTTTTGTTCCGACTGCGACGAACTTTCGTCCTGGCGCAGCATGAATTCCAAGACCGCTAGTTTGGCCAGGCCAGCATGTGTCACACGGAGGAGGTTTTTTGGACGGGGCATGAATTCCAAGACCGCTAATTCGGCCAGGCCAGCATGTGTCACACGGAGGAGGTTTTTTGGACGGGTGCCTACTCGTTTTTAGTCGCGGGTGAGCAGCATGAATTCCAAGACCGCTAGTTTGGCCAGGCCAGCATGTGTCACACGGAGGAGGTTTTTTGGACGGGGCATGAATTCCAAGACCGCTAGTTCGGCCAGGCCAGCATGTGTCACACGGAGGAGGTTTTTTGGACGGGTGCCTACTCGTTTTTAGTCGCGGGCGAGCATCAGCAGGATGAAAGTTTTGTCGCACTAAGATGTCTTTGCTTGGCGGAGGACTCGGAGTACGAAGAAGTGCATTTTACGTGGCCTGGCTAGCGGAGGAATTTCCATGCCAAAATGAACATACACTGTTTTTTTGTTCCGACGGAGGAATTAGTGACGTCCTTGCCAAACATCGCGACTTCGTGAAGGAGTCTATGGGGGAAAGGGGTTTGCGAGTATGTGTTAGCAGACCTACCGGATGCGACGAACTTTCGTCCTGGCGCAGTATGTGCATTGCTAGCAGCCCAGGACACTTGCCGATCAGCCCCAGGCGCCAAGCCAAAACTCGAAAGGAGCGCTACTGAATAAAGCGCAGAAAGTAAGGCTACTTGTGCCAACTGTGTGGCAGCAACGGCATGGATCCATCCGATGTGTAATGTAATCGATGGGGAGTTCCTTACCAAACCAAACATGTGAGCATCGGGTTTGCACGTGGGGGGTTGAAACACTGATGTGACACATCCACTTGCATGTCTGTTTCACGTATCACTTGCATGTATCCAGGTTCTACCAGAGTACTGATCGACAGCTGTGCGCCTGTAGTAAACAACATTGCTGCGAGACTATGTTCCTAAACGTCTTACGAGCCGGATACACGCCCAGATTACATTTCAGCGTGGGGGCGACCGCCAACCCCTCGACTTCCCAAGCCGCCTCACAACTTTTGCGAAGCTTTCCTTGGCGAACCCATCACGCGAGCGTTGTGTCCGCAAGCCTGCAAGCTTGCTGATTGAGATGCAGTACCCTAAACCCAAACTGGCGAGGACTCGAGTATAAGGTACTGTGATACTCCATTGTCCATGGGCCGAGATCGGGCCTCGGATGGCCAGAAAGAAGTTTGTCGGGGGTACGGAGGTACAAGTGTTCCAAGGATGGAACAGAAGCTGTCAGGGGTGGACGAGGAGCCGCTGGGGTGGATTAGAAGCTGTCCGGGGTGGACTAGAAGCTGTCCGGGTGGAAAAGAAGTTGCCCGGGGCGGAAAAGAAGCTCTAGGGGGGTGGAATAAAAGCCAAGGGGTGCAAAAAAAGCTTTCGGGGGCTGGAAAAAAGCTGCGTCCATACAGCTACCCATGAACCTCCAAGTATGGGCTTGCAAATGACCCGCTGAGGTCGTGGAGCGCAACCTCCAAGATGAACAGGATGCGCGGATCGCGCGGAGACGCCCCGCCGGAGTTCGTTGATACATTATATTGAGAGCATTTTGGGGGGCTTAATGACATGATCAGATGAGGTTTCGGGGTACACTATTCTTAGTAGAGATTTATCGAGCTCTCTGGGGTGTAAAGGGAATCAGAAGGGCTTCGGTTCGAGACTTTTGTGAGTTTCAGCGTTCGGGATTAAGTTTGAGGTTCACGATGTCTGCAGGTGTTTAAGACTCAGGGTTTGGGGATTTCTGCGCGGAGCCTTGAACCCATAAGTTTTAGCTTCAGGGCTTCGCTTTAAGGCTTGAGCCCATTTCATAACTTCCTAGCTCCCCAAAGTGGGGAGGATCATGTTCCTAAGGCCAGATGCGCAGCGTTTCCCGAAGTTCCTCCCGGGGTCCCCTGGAGCTCCAAGACGACGCCTGGCCTGCTTTCAGGGTTTGCTTGCCGACATTCCGGGGAGGTATGAAGTTCGTTCTTCTTCCAGAAATCTGAATGAGCACACCGTATACGTATTGAACGGAGAGAGAGAGAGAGAGAGAGAGAGAGAGAGAGCAAAAAGGAAAGAAGGAAATGAATGAATACAGAAAGAGAGAAAGAAAGAGCGAAATAAAGACAGAACGACATGAAGGAAGAACTAGGAACAACATAAATAATGACCGACAGAAACAACGAAATAAAGACAGAAGGAAAGAGCGAGAGTAAGACAGACAGAAAGACATAAATAACGACTGCAAGAAAGAACGACAGAACGAAAGAAGAGAGAGAAAGAGCGATAGAGATAGAGAGAGAGAGAGAGAGAGATAGAGAGAGAGAGAGAGAGAGATAGAGAGAGAGAGAGAGAGAGAGAGAGAGAGGGAGAGGGAGAGGGAGAGGGAGAGGGAGAGAGAGAGAGAGAGAGAGAGAGCACAGCAGGGGCACATGCCCAACACCATAGTCTCAAGCCAAAAGATGGGCACAACACTTCCCTCGTCAGCAGTGGTTGGTGCCACAGAGGTGCACGGAGCCCCGCATCCGGGAACCCGCACAATACAGCCCAGCCCTTCCGATCAAAAGACTGGATGGGGTTGCTTGACCGAGTGGGGAACGGGGGCTGCCCGCTCCTCATGCCACTTTGCAAAGCAAAGGGAGAGAGAAAGAAAGAGAGAGAGAAAGAGAGAGAGAGAGAGATCCGGAGAGACAGAGACAGACAGGGACAGGAGAGCAAGAACAGCCAGCAGGAGAGGGAGGCATGAGTTCGGCAATACACACCGACAAAGGTTGAGGTTGAAGCTATTGTGCTTCAAAGTCCATGACTTGGGTGCTGGGTTCACGGTTATGAGGTTGAGGGATGAGCAGGGGATGAGGGGGGCTTGAGGGCCTTGCCATATATGGGCGCCATGGCCGTTAATGCCAGATTCTTTTGGCCTCGGAAGCATGAGGACGGGTCTGTGAGAAGTATGGGTCCTTGTACGCTGAGTATTCCAACTTATTGTGCAAGTCATGATGCAGACTCCGCATCGGAGGCAATTTTACTTACGGAGCACCTGCGCCGAGGGACCTTGTTACTTCCTACTTGTACCAACATGCCTACTGTAAGTCATTCTCAGACCTAAACGACTCCACTCAGTTGCCGCGCAGCTCCACGGGTGCCTTAGTCAAAACTGATGGGGGTTGGTGGAGCATGTGAGAGTCCGGTTGGCGATGTTGCTGGTTCGGACTAAATTGAGCGGACACTGTTGTTCAATTGCGGTTGAGGCAGGTTTTCAGAATTCCAGCCACTTAAGAGCATTCGAGTGCCTCCTTGCTGCCACGATTAGCCCAACCTCCCAGCCTATGTCGCCTTACTCGCGCCTGAAGCCATCACTCCGAACATCCGTGAAGTCTCGGAGACTTCTCTTAAGCAAATTCTGAGCCCGAGAGTTTGGTGAAGTTGTCAAGCACCCCTGTTGTTGCAAGCAAGGGCTACAAGTGGAGTATCATGCCACCAGAAGTTTACGTGCTTTTCAGCATGACAGTCGCATAACATACAACCAGACACCGTGCCCGCTGTTTGACACTTTTGATGTGATTTTCGGTCGTTCGATGGTGGTTTCCTGTAAGTGACGGTGGAAATTGGAGGGGCAGGAGGAAGCACTGAATACGCGTGCAGGTGAGGTTACTCCGGGCCGCCAGCTGGTCAGAGCGAGCTCGCAGCCTGTCGGTGACGAAGTATTAAGCCATGTGTGCACGCTGCCCAGACCGAGATGACAGAGCTGATGCAAGGCTTGAGGTCGTGAGTGCATGCATCCCCTCGCCGATTGATGTAGCATCTTTAGTTGTTTGTTTGTAGACATGCAGGAAACCGCCGGGCACGAAATCCCCTCCTCGAAAACCTCAGGCAGCGGCACATTGAAAGTACATATTGCGATGATATATGCTGAGCAACGAGTTTCCAATCTTAGCTTCAGACGCCCAAGGCAGGGCCGCAGAGATGTGGTGTTTTGGTCTGCTGCATCCTCCACAATGTCGATAAGTCATGTGCTCGTAAGTAACAGGGCTAGGATGATGTCAGCATCGAAGCACCAGAAGTGCCAGTGGGCCCAGGCGGACGAGCTCACAACACACCAGGGTTACATCCCAGTCGAGCGCCTCGGCAAACATTCGAAGGAGGTTCCTTGTCATGTCGGCTCATGTCATTCACAAGAGCGACGTGGTATGATGGGAGAGTGACCATCGCAGCATCCTGCGTGGGCTGGACAGCCAGCATGCATTGACGTTGGGACCTGCAGGGCATTGCTACTGAGGGGCAACCCTCAAAAAACAGCAGTCCAAAACACTTCAAGCAGGAGATAACTCTGAGGCGACAACCGCTCCTCTTCTCGTGACCATGGGCCTTCCTCGAACACGCCTTCGCGGAGTAACTCGCGCAGCCGCAGCGGCGCCATCGCCATCCGGAAGACGTTCCTCACCAAAAATCAAGCCTACAAGGATTCAATGTTCAACTACGATCATGATTGCAATCATCGACGCATAGGAGGGTGGTTTGTAAGCTTCGTGTAAACTAAACCTTTCGAAAGCGCCAGGATACTTAGTGAAGGGCTTGAACTTACTTGTTATTGATCAAACTAGTAATGCATGGTTCTTGTTGACTTCGCTCGGGCCCGGCCCCATATCGAGTCATAGGAGGAGGCCCATGCGCATGTTCGAGCGCCACCGATAGCAAGACTAGTGATGGTAACCAAAGCTGGTTCATTGTCCGTCCTCATGGCTTCAACATGTAACTCAGATGGAAAACCGCTGAGGAGTAACAGTTCCGTTGGCTCTTCACTGGCACTGATGGATCCGTGGCGCAGCCGTGGCTCTGCTTGCCTTCGAAGCCCAAGCGCTACCTTGGCCTTCTTTGCAGTAATCTCTCTGGGGACCTTGAAGCCACACTTCGAGCGTAGAGCTTATAGGGCCCAGGGCGTTTGGCTTAAGGTTCCCATCTGTCCGTGTGCCATGACGGTCCAACAGCACGCTTTGTCCTTCTCTGCGAAGAGACCCGTGCTTGTTTGGCTCACTCGTTGTCTGGCTGTCTACACGTCTAACCGTTCCTGCCTGCCCACCTGTACCCGTTACATTGGACATGAAGACTGGGAAGATTAAAAGTGTTGAAGCCTGGCGGTAGGCACTTCCACGGAGAGTGATAATAAATAACCAATGATGAATATCTAGGCGCGTTACTTTTCAATTTTCAGGCAACGCTCGCTGCTGGGGTTTGAGCATGACGGGAAGCCCGAGTCTTCAGACATGCCCAACCAGAAGTCCACGAGTCACGCACCAAAAGGCACCAGCGTTCCCAAATCCATGAAGTGAAGAGACTCGCACCAGCCGAGACACGAGACTAATTACTATAGAAACGCCTTTGCATAGCGCTAGATAGCTTGGTCAACATGTCAATCACGGACGACAAGTCCTGAGGTGGCTCTCATCGTCCTCCGTCTGTTGGTGGTAACAGTCGCCGTGGGTCGAAGGCTCTGCGTATGGCTTCGATACGGTACGTGACGGGGTACCGGGCTTGAGATGCATGTGCAATATGCCACACACCCACAAAAGCCACATGATGCGCAAATGTATGCGTTGATGCTCGACGATTGGGGCTGAGTATATGCCAAAGAAGTTCAAAGACGTCGAAGGCTCAGGAAGACAGCTAACCATCTAAATCTACGCGTGTCTGTGTTGTTTTCCCCAGCTAAAGATGCACATTAGCTCTCGAAGCGTCGCCCTTTCATAAACATTTGATTGTCTTGCATTTGGATGGCGTTTCAGAGAATCTGTGCATGTGTATGCGCGTGTGCGTTCATTACTGAAAGAATATGTGTACGTATGTATATATGTGTATGGGCATACACTTGCATAGCTTAATATGTACTTATTTATGTATGTAAATGTGTATATATATATATATAAGAGGCAGCTAAGAGATGGATAACTTGTGCGTTAATAGACTTGTTTGCTTATTCGTACATCTATACCCAGGTCTCCCGAACCGCCATGTCGCAGCCAGTCGACAGGCCTCTGCTACCAGCCGAACATCCTCCGCCACAATGGCAGAGGTCGTCCGGGTCATGTCTGACAGCCTTATAGTCCCTATATACGTAGTTCCGAACTATACTCTACTCTGACACCCTTTGCTTCACTTGGGAGACAGAGAGAGGCTTATCTTCTTTGAAGGATCGCAAGTCGTTTGTGTCTACAGTACGTCTCCTTCCATTTGTCATTTCTCAGTCAAGCAACCTTGTCGTGTAGACCCCCGTTTCTTCATCTGTACCGAACATCCATCTGCGGCATTCATTGGTTTCTTCAGGGCTCAGATGTTGAGCCCTCAACTACCCAACGACCGAAGCCGTAGAATCAGGAGCAGAAGCCGAAATTTCCGCCACATCGGGATCGGAAGCTCTCTTCGGGTGCATGCTTGGGCCACCCGGCTCAGGGAAAATGCTTTGTCTTATTTGGGGGTTCGCGGTCCTGGTTTCATGCTTTTAAAGGGTTTTCTTGACTTGACTATGGCGGTCGCTGAGGCACTCTTGGTACACGCTGCTTTAGAGATGTGTTCTTACGGGTAACCGCTTACCTTCAGGACTTGATGAAAGCACATTGAATTTTGCGATTTCTACATGGGCTTCATCAAGATGCACCTTCTGGCGGAACCCTACTCAACTCTACAGCACCTGCATGTCTGCGAACCAAAACCCTGAATCTCAATTGCCTGGCCGGTGTTGTACAGTACCTTTTGCTCATTTTAATGGGACTAGGTTGTTCCCCTGGAACTTGTACCTCGCTGTGTGTGTGTGTGTGTGCACGTTCCCTTCAGCGCGACCTCGCCAGCTAAGCGGGTGTGAAAAATGGAGTGGCCCAAGCCAAACCCTCAACCTCCCAGTACTAGGCTTGGACATCACGGCCTTCGAAAATGCTCGGCGAAAATCGTTGGCCTCGCCGCTGCAGCTGCAGGTGGGGTGCAAAGGTGAGTTATCGGCACTTATGAGCGCAACGTCAAGTCCGAACGGGATATTCATCGTAACAGCGGTGATGATACCGACGATGATGCGGATGATGACGACGACAGACGGTGATAATGATGATGATGATGATGCTGGTGGTGATGGTCAAGCTGAAAACGAGATGGCCGAGTGATATTGACGGCAATTACATTACGATGCAGGTCACTCCTGGGTCTTGCTTTGGTCTCTTTGGTGCTGTTCGAGACGCGCACACTGCAGGCCTATTTAAAAGAATGTTTGAGTGGATTAGTTGCGTGCATCTAATCCCCTGTACCAGAATCGTAGTCCACGGTTTTGATTTGAGGTACTGCTGTACTACAACCTTACGAATGCAGAACGACTACGGGTGGCCCTTGCTGCTTATCGCGACGAGAACTCGCAACGACTTACATATTCGTGTCATTCCAGCGGCTGTGATTAATCACCCCTCTAGGAAAAGCCGCACTACTGATCGCTGCGAGATGAGAACATTATCAGAGTACTCTTCTTTTCAGAGACGCGCAAAACTTCTCACAAGTGTGGCCTGTCGTAACGACTTGCCTTTGTCCTGAGCAAGATGCCATGGTGATGAGCTTCAAGAGCTTGGCTGTTTGATCCTCCAAGGTGCTATAAAGTCGAAGGTGCGTAGCCAAGAAGTAAATAGGGATGCTTGAAAAAGGCATATAACATAGGCATGCAGTGTTGGCTTGACATAAGTCCTGCATCTCGGAGGTTGCAGAAGCTGATTGTTTTTAGTGTGGCAAAACTGGTGGCACAGGAACCGTTCCAAGCGTATGAAAAGCCTTGGACCAAAGTCGAAATGGTATTCGTAAGTTGCCTCAACACGGGTACCCCTTGGTGCCACAAACTACGATATGTTTGCGCTGAGCTTACAGCAGAACTCCCCGATGCCCAGCTTCCTGCAAGTGTCCGACTGTCCTTTGGTCCCCGGCGCAGGTCCAGGCCTTGAAAGACGGGAATCCGGAGGAGGCGTTGGACGCTTTGGTGTACTTTTGGGTGCATGGAGCAGAGAGCAAGCCTTCGATCTTGTTGTGGGGTCTTCACCGACGGCAAGCAACATGAGGCTTCGGGACGCTGCTAATTGAAATATGGTATGCAGAAGCCCTTTGCACCTGCAGTTCCGACGGTGCCGATCGGTGCCGCTTGTTTCTGGGTCGGAATCCTGGCGCAAGGCCATGCACGCTAGGCCCCTTTCCGGAGTCTCCCTGATTATACACAGACCAGACGAAGGTCCGACCTTTGAAGCCTACTCCCACACAAGATGATATCACCGTTCATCCAAACCTTTCAGGCCCCCAGACGAGGTTTGCGCAACAGCCCGGCTTGCCTTGCGAACTCTCCAGGGGCGACCCTCTTCGCAAGTCATGAAGCGGCGTGCATCCATGCCAGCAAGCAAGGAGGAAGCTGAGGCGGTGGGTCTTTTGTGAGAGGGAGCTCGCTTATGCTTGGAGAAGTCTAGAGTTTAGGTGGGAGAATTGGCCTTTAAATTATGTTTTGGACGACTGCTTGGAACCAACCATTTTTCCACTCATAATCTGTTTCTCAGGTCGACAGAATGTGCGTATGAGAAGGGGTCTTGATCATCAGGTGCACTGGCATTGTGGCTGTACATGGTTTTCGCTGTTCAAGCGGCTGCACAAGACCTCTATCCGAACGCCCCGTGCGACCACTCCAGCAGCAGAACGAAAGCCATGATGCCGCGAAGACCACATCTAGTCTGTACTGTATTTATATAATCCGGTATGGCGCTTAGGTGAGGGGAAATTCGGAGCTTGGCCACTGGCGATTGAAGAGGTATAAGGATCAGTGGATGATCGACTCCGGTCGTCGGGCCTGCCTTGCAATGTCTGAAAACATCCATAGACTCTCGATCTCGTGGTGCTAAGGAAGGGTGGGGCTGAAGGTTTTTGCACTTGTGCACATGCCCGCATGCCTCGGGGCTTGAGATGGTGGTTTTGTGATGGCAATGCATCTGCCGCAGGCACAGGCCAAGGCCAAGCCTCAACCCATGCCGAGCTTCCGAGACTCGATGAGGAACAAGGCCTGGTCTGAGGTGCTCCATTTTTGATTCCCAATTCGGGTTTCGGATTTCGGCGTCTGCATGTTCACTGTCCACTTGCACACGCGCATGTTTTCGGGGCTCCGAAAGTCAATGCTGCAGGCTACAGCCACCTTGTTGCTTCATGCAGGCTTCAGGTTAGTACGCTTGAGTCGTGGCTTCAGACCGATGTCTTGTCAAGTCCCGACCGTTAGTTTTTAGGCAGGCTTGGGGGGAGGGAGGTTTCTTGCTGTTGACAGTTGGGTTCAGCGGGCTGAGAATCGGTCTAGCTCTCACTCGTCACTCGTTATGCTGCAGCTATCTTATAAGTCAGAATTTCCTAGACGTTGCAGAGACAAGCTGAGAAACATGCGCAGGCTCGCGAGACATTCCTCCGAAAGCGCAAGACCAACTCGGGCTCCAGGATCAGTGTTGACAAGGTCTCTCGGATTCCGGGTTACAGATTAATTACAGGAGTTTTGATACAGAGAAGATAAGCCTTCAGGTTCAGGGTTCAGTGTTTCGAGCATACCGTAGGGCTCGAGTTCGAGGCCTGCGGTGCCGGCAACGGTACAGAGGGGTTGGGCTTTGCAGGTGCTGACTTGTAGTGTCTTCGTTGGTAGATAGTAAGGATACTCCAGCAACAAATAACTCATTTTCAACATCTGACGGCCAGGACATGTGAATGAAGACGGGAGAGTCGAAGCATGTTCCCTGGGTGTTGGGCTGCAATGTGAACGGCGCTTGCCGCCCTCCAACCCCAACCCCCCCCAACCCGAGCTCCCAAAGCTGTTAGCAGACCTGGCTTGCCCGGGGCAATCTTCCCGGGAGTGTGCAGAAGCTTCATTAGATGTTGCGGATGCAGAGCCAATCAACCGATGTCTTCTAATAGGGGCGGGTGGCACTGATATCTAGAATCTCCGTGGGCTGGTCAATACTCTTGTCCTGGAGAGGGAGAAGGAATCAGATACGACGTGCAAGCAAGCAAGGAAGCAGCTGAATTAAATCTCTTTTGGTCCGACCTCGAGATATCAGCGTCCCCTGGGTAATCTGTGTTATTCCCACACCTCAGTTATCGAAGCACCGACCTGAACGTCAGACTCTTACAACTCCCAGAAGCGCCGTGGACAGGATCCCGAGCTCTATCCCGGCCGGGATTTGCCTGGCCCCAAGTCCTCGGTGCATGCGGATTTCAAGCTTTAAGGATTTAAGGTATCCTATCTATAATGCGGTGTTACGGTTTTCGGTCCTCAGCTGAAGAGCAGCGGAGGGCAGTGCTGGCAGTCATCAAGTCCGGTTTCAAAAAGGTATCCTATCTTGGGGTCCTTATAACAATAATAAGGATCCTACTATTCAGGGTAGCTCGGCTTCTGGAGGATTTCAGGCCTTTGGCTTCGAAGGCTGTGACACGAGTACTTGGAGGATCATCGGACATATAAGTACCTTAATTGGGTTACGTAATTATAAGTATAGTTACCTTGATTATAACCCTAGTTACTAAGTCCCATGATCCTCTCGGCACTCTCCGGCAGGAGTAGACTTTGCGCGAAATATACTGAGCTCTTCTTCAGTCACAAGTCCTGGACTTCGACCAGGGACACTCCACAAATCTGCTTAAAGCCCTGTGATACTAACTGAGACCAGCCCCCGTCCTTGCTCCAGGCTGCCGGAAACTGTCAAGGCTCTGGACATCCCGACAGCCATCGACATCTTTCAGTACCATGACAGGGCCCGCAGGGCAAGCAGGGTTTAGAGGTTCAAAACTTGGGAGGGCAGGGGGGCTTAGAGGTTCAAAACTTGAAAAGCGCTATGTCGGCAGGGAGGATTTTTCGAGGTACCTGAGTTGCATCGGCAGTCCTTCCCGTCAGGGTCCCAGTCCTTTGAGGCTGTACAGGCTGTATCACGATACAAGCAGCAGCCCATCTAGTTCGACTTGGGAATTTGATTGACGTTGGGCTTTCCAGTTGAGCGGGCTTTCAGCATGCGGCCGGAGTCTGTCTAGGCAAGAGCTTCGCCCCCCGGAGTCTCTCATGTTAAATGAAAGTCAAGCTTTTAAACAATTGCCAGTACCAAGATTGTGTGATAATGAGAACTTTGCAGTATTGATTGAAAAGCAACCAACTGATGACATAAGATATTTTTCAATAAATTTGGGCATTACCGGGGTTAACAAATGCACCTATGACGCGAAGTCAGCAGGCACTTAGCCTTGCTTGATCGGTGAATTCAGAGACCCCAGCCCGATTATGAATTGTGCAAAGATCTCTCGTTCTTAGACTGGTCCAGGGGAGGCTACAGTCCCCCAGCGAGGCTTCCTTAGATGTATATCCTCAAGGCTGCGTTGCGAAATCTACTCTTTTAGTTTGCGCCGAAGAGAGTTGGGGTTGCCACCACTTCGAGAAGGTTGTTTTCCGGACAATGGCCCGGCAAAACTTTTGGACGCTTGATCCGGAAGCCAATGACATAGATCCTCTAACCCGCACTCCGCAGGTGCGAGCACACGGCAATACAGGCCGGCTCGGGTTCTTCTACAGAGCAGCTGCACCCCAATTTGTCTGTATACTTGTGGTGTTAAATCGTAGAATCTAATGCAGGTCGGGTGCTCTGGGTTCATCTTGGAGCCTTGGTGGCTCAGGCAATTCAAAGTTTCCAGCCTTGAAGGTGAAAGAGTTAACGAGGTTGTTCCTGGTAGTAGTAGTAGTAGTAGTAGTAGTAGTAGTAGTAGTAGTAGTAGTAGTAGTAGTAGTAGTAGTAGTAGTAGTAGTAGTCGTAGTAGTAGTAGTAGTAGTGACAAGTGCGCGTGCTACGGCACACTTTTGTAATTGAGACCGGTCAAGCCGACCCCCTGCGCACAACGTAAGGACCATATCAACAACATTTGTTCATGCGGTCAAGTCTAGCTTCAAGGGCCTGAGCTGATGACCTGCTAAGTAGGATGCCGAAGCCTTCCCTTCAATTGACTACCATTCTTGACACTGAAATTTAGAGCATGACTTTTACCCCTTCTAGCAGATCCCGCAAATTTTGGCAGGTCCCATAATGTATATGCATACTCGCACATATATGTATATATATATATATATATATATACACGTGTAGACAGATATAGATACATGTACCATCTATATCCACACAAGCACGGTACTCATGCGTAGGTAAACGTTTCTGTCCCAGTCTGGAGCGCATCGGCACCCTGCAGCCACAGCCGATTAAGATTTGGTCCCAAAGCCTCCCCGGTCCAGGTCTCTTAGACCGACGGACCTTCTCCGAGATGCTTTTTGCCATAGCCCGGGGCAAGGCGAGGGAGAGCGCCTTTTTGTGTTGCGGAGGGAGGGGGACAGGGTGTTCCATACCTGTGGCGGTATATTCCGGCAACCTCTCTGCCGATATAAGGGCTGAAAGCGGCTGATTAGGGAACATGGGGCACTCTGCTTTTCCATGGCTTACGGAAACCATGGCTTGAACTGTTTGTAAGCCCTAGAAGCCCCGAGGCCGGTTCAGGGGCATGGAATTTCGAGAGAACCTACACGCCGACCGCCGTAGGGCCGTAGGGATTATCGAAGGCAGAGTTGACCACTGCCCACTTTCAATTGTGGGGCGGGGGGGGTGGCGGGGCGAATCTTGGGCAAATGTGCGGTTGCCTTTGCAGCTCATTTCTTCGCAGACTCTGCTTCTTTCCGATTCTGAATGCGAGGAGTACATGACCACCGAATGGTGCGATGCAATCTTCAATGCTTTGGTGCTTGGGCTGAACACCTAGCTCACCAGAATAATGCTAGACCCGAGGCAGGTTTCAGGCCCGGTAACAGACCAACACTTGCCCCAGCTGCAGCCACCAGCCAGTCACCAGTATGTTGACGACGGGGGTTTATACTTGTTGACTGAGTGTCTGGGAAAAGTACTTAGTCTAGACCCGCAGGAATGACTTCAATCATGACTAACAGAGTCATTCACCTGAGCCAGTGAGGGTTGCTACATGATTTCAGACAAGCGATTCAGACCAAGCGGCATCCTCTCACGTCCTGCACCCATGTGGGCTCAAAGTTTGCATTTTGCTTCCTGACTTGTCGAAGAGCTTAGGACTACGAGCACGCTGGGGTGCTGGATCAAGATCAATTTCTCGGCTGCTGGGCTATGAAGTGAAGTTCTGTAGGCCACCCCTCCTCTTTTGTGAGGGTTTTTGATCCCGGACCTGGCTCTGGTCTTGCTTACATCCGCCCGGACTGCAAAGAAGCGCTGTTGAATCTTGCGATAGTCACTTGCACCCCGTCTCTTCTGCAAGCACTTCGACCCCTTTCTGGCTACAGCTTGGGTCATCCCTTACCCAATAAGGAATAGAAATTTACATGTTTAATCCTATCCCAACCATGAACTAGATCCATGGGCCTCGTCCCGGACGAGGTTGGGCCTTCAACTCTTTGAACAACTACTTCAGTGACGTCCGGCGGCGATTTCACATAGTGGCAGCCTCGGAACTCTGTGATGAATGGGTTTGGTTTTCCGGCAGTTGGGGGGCGGAGGCATAGGAACGTATGTAGTTTGGGAGATAGGTCGTCAGGTGGCTTGGAAGTTAGGAAGTGTTTGACCCAAACCTTGAGCCAGATCCCTGAACCCCAAACTCCAAGCCCTGAGCTGATCTCCAAAGCTGTTTACATCAGTTCACAACCGAGGTGAAAGAACCCGACTTGCGAGAGTCCCGGCCTCATTCCCTAGCTGCAGTCTTGTTGCGATTCGTCAAAGGGCCTCGGTGGGTGCCAGAGGGCATATGATCAGCTTGCTACCCCTTGGCTAGTGCTCCAGAACTTGTCACACAAGTGTGACCATGAATGCTGCAGCACTAGCAATTGCCCGCAACAGTGAGTAATGGCACCAGGATGCACCAGGCGATCGCACCATTGGACTAGAATTCTGCCGTGAGCAGAAGTTCTGCCACTAGTAATTTGGGCCCGCCCCCCGGCCTGGCAAAGCTCATCAAGCTTCAGGGCGGTCGCCTACACCCAAGCTGTCCCTGTCATGAGGTGGGGCAGGGTGCCGTCACTGAATGACCCACGACAATCCCAGGCCGACAATACTATCATTATACCTCGACTATCACTAGACATCGCCATGTTCTCTCCGGGCTTAGCTTCGGCATGCTCGGCTTAGATGATGGTATCCTCGCACGACAGCATAATCAAATCGTCGCCGTTCGAAGCTCATTGCCCTGGTGTCCTCGCCAAGTCCCGAACAAGTCTGCTTTGAACAGCATTCCAGTGGCCCGTCGCAGTAGAGCTAAAGCCTGCAACACTAGTCGACCATTCTAGATACTAGAAGCGGCCGTTGACATGCCAAGCCCGAAAGTCTGCAACTCTCTAAACTTCAAAATATCGTGAAGCGTTCCTCCCAAAGGCTGAACTGCAAAATATCCAACAAGGCTCCTGACCGGTTTGGGTGCAACTCCCGGAAGCGCATCTCGGACACAACCAGATTGGGTTTCACAGTTTTCGGTTTTTGAAGAAGCGAGTTCTCGCTTTTATGATTTGAGGCTTGGTCTGTGTTGCTAAGCCGGCATAGAGCCCTTGATTTTGCCTTTTCCTGCTGCAGGGCTTCTCGCAGCAGTTCCTGATCAGCAAGGAGGCGCAAAGCCACACAAAAAGTCGCTCCCCGATGAATAGTGGCCCTAATTCGAACAGGCTTTGGGGTATATGGAGTTTTCATATAATACGACTACAGCAACTCTTAGAGAAACACTAGTGCGCCTTGCTTGCAGGAGTTCTGGTTTGTCGTCGAGACCTGCAGCATCAAGCTGTCGAGCTTCCAAGCAGCACTGCATGACAGACAGAATATTCGTTTTCTTAGTACAAAAACGAAAGTAATGGTAGTTTAAGGTACCCAAATCATCCCAAACCAATGCTGATGGTCCGGGCCCAACAGGCCGAAATCTAACCACATCCACAGTTCTCCAGATGGCACTTCTACATGAGCCCTCTTGGTCTCGATCGTGATTTTCTCGTGATTACGATTACAGAAGTCTAAAAGTAATCAAGGTATTCCTACAGCGCTAGTGCAAGTATCTTTGCTTTTGCAAGGAAAAGCTTGCGAAGAGCTTCACGAGCGGCTTGACCTTGACAAAACCGGAAGTCTGGAACTCACAGAGCCTCCTGGCAGAACTTCGGTTGAGGTTGAGGTGTTCCGAGAAGGACTTTTGAAGGCGTTTCTACAGAAACGGATACGTCTATATGGCTACATGCTGCAAGGTTCGACGGAGTGAAATCTATCCAGGTTCGTTGACGCAGAAGCCTTGCCAGTATATATGCCCCAGAGTTTGTAGCGGCTCAGTCGTCACGAAACACCATCGGGAAGGTTTCGCATACGGCACCAGCTCCCAAGGCTGCTGAGCAAATTGGTCAGGAGGGTGCACCCATGCGGCCCTTCAAACCAGAGAATGGGCTGTCGGGTCATGATGGACTCTTGCGGGGAAGCACGAAACAGGATTCGTGCACCTCAGAATGCACTGAAAATGTTTGGAAGCGCAAGAACCGCAAGTAAGCAAGCCTTTTACCGCGCATGCCTCCCAGCCTCCTGCAAGTCAGGTTCCTAAACTGGGTCTATCCTGGACGTGAGCTGCACCAGCTACAGCAGAAGCTCGACAGCCTTCGACGCTCTGCCGAAGGTATGTTATATGCAGGGCTTAAGGTCTTGAAGTTCCAGCAAGCAGATTTCAGCCACATACCGAAAGCAAACTGTCGTTCTCGAGTCCGCAGACTTGGCGGTTTCAGCGTGCACTAGCCCTAGGCCCACTCACGGCTTGAACTCAGCAAGCCGGCAGCTGGTCAAGCAACATCAGGGACGCGCCCTTTTGCGGGAGCACGCATAGAGCCTAGGGTCTTCAAGCCATTGCCTGCGAGCATGTCGAGCTCTGGCGGAAGCGGCCGCTTTCTCGTGCATCTACCAGAATCTACCACCTGGAAGGTCCAAAGCCCCTGATCGCAACTACCGGAACTGCAGGAGGGCTCCAACTGACTGAGGAATCTGGCAAATAGACCTGCAATGCCGAGACCGCACAGTCTGTCCGCAATACGACAATGTGTCTCGCTAAGTTCAAGAACTACAACTTCAACTTTTGGTATCATGAACATGAATCATTATCGTCATCATCATCGTCATTCCCACCCCCACACGCCATGCCATGCAGCACTTGTTGGTGCCATCGTCATCATTCTGGTCGTCACCACAGTCATCGTCATCGGAGAGTCAAAGCAACTTGCGACGTGGCAGATCAACTCCTGCAACACACCATCCTGGAGGGTGAATGTGCACAGGTCGGCAAATTCCTGATGACTCTGATGAAGATAATGGCATCGCTGAAGACGGCTGCTATGCTAGCACATTTTCGGGTCTCAACGGTCTCAAGGGTTCACGGCCCTAAACCCTCGCCCCGGCGTTCTGCAGCAGTTCGGGAATTGGGCGGAGCGTCCGGGGTCGTCCAAGGTTGGAGTGCGGGATCATAGGCTCCAACTGGCTCGCTTCGAGTTTCAACCCCAGGCCCTACTGTAGGAAGACTGGTTCACCGAGTCCCGAAGCACGATGCCTGCAAGCCAGCTGTGACCTCAGGCAGTAAAAGGAAATTGCTTGGTCGAAGTCACTCGAACTCAAGCTTCGTTCAAGGGCAGCAGTAAGCTCGCTCGCATGCCGCTGCCACGTACGCATCTTGCAGGCAAGGCAGAGCGAGCTGAGCTCTTCACCTCAACATGCCCTTGACCCACATTCGTAAAGCTCCAACGCCGGATGCAAGCCACATGCCAAGGTTACAAACCTCCGAAGAGACCCATTTGGGAGCCTAGCCTGCATCCGGCGATTGATTTGTGAGGTTTCGCATAACCCAGGCGGATAACATCGCTGAGCCATACGGTCAAAAGAGGCTTGCTGATTGCTGATGTGCTGGAGTCCGGGTACAGCATATTAAGCGTGTGATGGTGTGCGATGCACGATCTCAGTGACGGTGTGCAGTCCATGCACCGAGAACTTTGTATTGAGTCAAGCTCTACTCTACTCTGGCAGGGCAGCGACCGCATGGAGGATCAACGCAATCGAATCCCCCTCTACTTAAGCATACCACTGGAATGGCCTTTCAAATCGACTTCTGACTGGTGGGTGGGCATGACTAGTATGTGGACAAGTGATAATATATCTACTTTTCCGTCTGAGACAGGCACATCACCCCGCAGGTGCTGCCGAAATGGCCCCCTTGCAGTGACTAATCATGACTAATCCTTCTACCCACAACCCTTCATCCCGAACTCTACTTCCCAAAGGTCAATTGCTAAATCCCTGCCCCTGCCTAGCTCACCTAGTCAAGCAATGCAGGCGGCACAAAAATCATTGAACTCTCCAAGCCCGAACTACACCCCCTTGCACGCGCAGTGTGTGCAATCCCTTACATCGTTGCATCGTCGGCGCTATGTACAGCTGGCAGTGGTGGATAGGCCCAATTCAAGGCCCCGGCAAGCTACATTGAGCAGCGTTTGCCTGCGGCCGCCCTTTTGAAGATCTCCCGAAGCCTCGCTGTCACAAGCTTAAACTGCACGCGCTCACCAAACGGACTCGATCCAGGATTTCAATCGAGACATGTATGGCAAAACTCCAACGCCAGAGGCTCCTGACACATGGCTCGGAATCCGAACCGTCGAGAATAAAAGATCGCAAGCTCGACAACTTGAAAGCAATGGTGCTCGGAAGGTGATTCGGTATGTTCGCAGATGTTCGGAGGACATGCTGGCAGTTCAACAAGATCCACAACAACAACAACAACAGTCCATGACCAGATGGGCATTTGGGCCCCGATCACGACAGACTCACTTGAAATCCCGGGGCCAGGGACTTGAAAGCAGGAGCGGGATCCAGGGACGATCTACAGAGGGGGCATGTGATGGCCACAAGAGTCTAAAGCCCGCGAGGGCCTTTCTGCGAATGAGCCTTGGAATTCATCTTGCTTGTTACATGCATTGTCTTTGGTTTGCTTAACCTCGAACCCCGCCCGCAGCTCTCGCATTCAGGAAATGCTGTCGAAGAACGCGGTGGTGCTGGAGTTCACGATTGCCCAGGCCTATCAGCCCAAGATCAAGCACCTCAAGGACGCGGTCATGTAGAGTTAACAGTCAGTCATTAAACCGCAAGCCACAAGTCTAAACGAGTCTGAGCCAAACAACAAGACAACTCTGTTCGTGCAGTCGGCACCAGCTTTTGACATCGAGACCCGTCGTCCCCGCCCTCAACAGTTTAGGACAAGGTTTAGTTAGGGTTTGTACCAGATGCGACTACACGGTTTCGGTGCCTAGAAGCACTCGTGCCGTGGCATCCGAAACCGACCCAGGGCCTGCTCAGTGATTTCCTTTGGAGTACAAGAGCTTTGCTTGGAAGCGTCGCTCTCTTGTGCGGTACTAAGAGCGCTTCGAGCCTAAGGTTCCGGAGTTGCTCCAATATTCTATGAGCAGAGGTAAGCATGTGCTGGATGACATGAAGTCTGCCAGATAGTGTTATGTTTGCGCTGCAACTACATTTTAGCTAGAGTAGCATGTGTCGGGGGAGCTCCTACGACGTCGGAAGAATCGTCCGGGCTGATGTTGTGACAAGGGATTGGCGCTTTGGATTCTCGGCCCTAGAAACTGCGATGAACATTGTCTAGGTCCCAGATGAGTACGGCAATGGGACCTCGCTCAGAACCGCCAGGACATGATGATGGAGAAGTTCCAGCAACTGATTGTCGATCTTGTTGTGGCCCGTTTGCTGCAGAGAAGTTTTCGGATTCCTGCGGATGAGGACTCTAAACTCCAGACTCGAAACCCCCAGAATGTTTCCCAAGGCTGAGAGTCGTCGATAGCCCTCGTTGCGTTGTTGCACGCCTTGGGTCCAATTCTATGCTGCAGATCTTATACGAGCCTTTCTTGCCTTGTGCGAGTGTGAGAGTCGAACCATGCACATCCTATCCAAGGGCCGTGGCGGAGACTTGAACTTACACGATGTCTGACAGGATGAAGATGCCTGAAACCGAAGAGTTGCCCATGCAATTTCACTTCGTCAATCCTCGGGCTCATCCATATTCTGCCGAAGTGTTCAAGCATTTTACTATAGTTAATAATTACCTATACTATTTTGGGGGTTCCTTGTTATAGTTGCAGTATAGTGGGCCCTACAACCCTATTCTAATTATCAAGGCCCTGATATTACGCGAGCCCTGAGCAGAATCCGCTGGTTCACCTTGGATAGGTCATCGACCCGATGCTGAAGCACTCCTGCAGCAGAGTTGTGGCAAAGGCGGCGAGTTTGCATACAGGTTAGCTTACGCGTGTATGTGTTTGCGTATACACTGGTCCATATGTAACCATGTAGATTGAATACATATACAGAGAGAGAGTGTGTGCGTGTGTCCATATAGTATATACGTATAAACACATAACAGTAGACTGCATCACGTAACGTGGCATGTGCCGTGCCCTTGCAAAGCGAGATCTTCTTGCTGAAATGGATGTGACGCATGAGCATCCGTCAAAACTTCCGTAATTGTAGTTAAGAGTAGGGTGACCGTGGAATGTCGGATTTTGTCAATTTCCTTGGAAAGCGACAGGACCCCCCCAACAGGGATACGATTAACGAGGATCCGCGGTATTTGTGTCTAGATTTTCCGTGTGATATATGGCTGGGCAATCGATACCCTAATCGATACCTACTAGATCGTTTTATGAGCCACTGCCCCAAAGGGCAAGCTACGAGTAGGATCAGTGAGTCTGATGGTCTTCTTACTGTCACAAGAGCAAAGCGACACCTCACAGAAACATGTGAGGGGATCCTTGTAAAGCGATAGGACCGCCCCAAATCATCCATGGTCTAGCCATGAACAAGAAGTTTTGACAAACGCTCACAGGGACACAAGAAGCTAACCTCGGAGTCAGGATGTGCCAGCGGATAGAAACATGAGCATGTGGACTTGATTTACGAAGTCCCAGTGGTCGGCATGAAGCTGGCCCTAGCCCAACCCAGCTCCTCAGTGTCAGAGATTGCTTGGGCGGAGGTCGGGCGTGGCATGGTATTGTGGGATGCAACGTCCATGCCGCTTGATATGCGAGTGTGTGTACTCTTCAAGTTTACTGTTGCGGCCTTTGGATATACGGCTACATAAGTTCAACAAAGGCCAGTTGAGGTAGCTTAGATTCCTGGGCTTGCTTAGCAGGGTGCAAGTAGATCAGGGCGATGTTGCGGAGCAATTTACACCAGTTTGGAAAGTGGATTTCGCAAGTTCGGCAGTCGCTTGCTTTGAGATGGCTTCATGCTTCCAGCCTTGGCAGAACGCGTGCTGTGGCATGCTAAAGTACTTGCTTTTTGCCCCGCTTGAGCTTGGAGAGGTTTTGAATTTCGAGTCTCCAACTGAAACTGAACGTATACTCCAAGGGGGTGCAGAATAGAGCTAGATTCAGGCAAATGTCTCGAAACGGAAACATGCGTTGCTTAAATCGCTTCTGCTGAGGGCTTAGGGCAGCCAGTTACAACCTGTTTGGCTTTGCAGATTGATTGAGTCTTTATTGCGTTGTTGATAATCATGCTAATAATAACGACAACCAGAATAAGAACAACAATAATGTCAATTGTTGTAAACTTATGAAAACTACATGTATTGTTCGCCTTATGAGGGTCTTGGTTCCGAAAGGGCTCTAGACTCAAGCAACTCGTCACTGGAACTATGTCTGCTTCAGAGCTCTCCACGTGTATGGGGCAGGTTGTTCGACGATTTTGCTTGCATTCTAATAAGTAGGGTTATAAGTAGGGTAACTATACTCATAACCCATATTAGGCGACTTATAACCCTACTTATAACTACCCCTAGTTCGGGCAGTTTGCGATCGGGGCTTCCCATTCGTTTGGCTTGAAGGTTCTTGTTGCCACTATCAAGTACTGGTGAGGTTATGAATGCGGATTACTGCCATGGCGTCATCCGGATAGTATTGCACCGCATATTTCCACCGGTTCCTCTGGTACTCCGCATGTTTTCTGTACTCGGCTCTTGCAGAATGCCCAGGACTCCCTACAGGGACGACCCCTTCGAGTCGAAGGCCATGGAGAGTATCTGTTTAGGGTTTAAGCAAACCTACGGCAACTCGACGTATAATATGTTCAAACCCTCCGCAGATCTCTAGCTCAAGCTGGACATATCACCCCAAACAGGTCGATTAGTGGTGAATTGGCCGATATAATTGAAAACCTGTCGCAAGAAGGGTCGTCCAGAGGCTCGTTTTCATGAGGCAGAAAGTGATGCATCCAAGCCCTTGAGTCGAAAGGTTGCAACGGCCGCATGGCTGAAGAAGCAACTCAGCTCGAACCAGCTTCCTTGTAACTTTGCTAGGAGATGCTCACTTCGAAACCAATGCGCTCGCTTGGTATTGGAATAAGTTGGCAAGCACATCATCAACATGAACAGAACCTAGCAGCAGCTGCATAGGAATGCGCGGGGGATAAGTTGGAATACTAGGGATCAGATGTTGCCGGTTCCTGCTCTACGCCTTGTTTCTGAGGAGGGGAAGATGGGGAAGGCAGGGAGAGAAAAGCGCTAGCATTGTGGCAGCTGTTAACAGCTTCAATCGCCCAGGTATGTTATGGATTTCATGCCGGACGCGCACGGGGCTCAGCCTGCGGTAGACGTGACCGAATCGGACTCGAAGCAGTGTATGACGGGTTGAGCCTACCCCGGCTCGGGAACCGGGGACGATTATCACATCGACTCAATCCAATTTCAGCCCGAGATGGACATGGCGGCTTCCGTGCACATGTGCTCATGCCGAGTACCTTCGTGGGCATAGAATGCATCGTCCAGGATTGGCGCCGCGAATGTGGCGGTCCTCAAGAGGCGGAAGAGAGACGCTGGGCATTCACTTGGCTAGTGTAGTCACGGCTCACTTTGGGTTTTTATCAAGATTAACAGCTAAGCTAGTATTCAACTTCAAAGTAGGTATATAAGGGTTTACGAACACGACTGAAGCAGCATACGAGTATTCCAACAACATGAAACTATACAGGCCCTAATGTAGGCAGAGATCAACTTTCACAAGCAAAAATCCCACCACAAGTAATTTACAGGCGTCTGACAGCGATCCCTGAGCATGTGAGAGAGCGAGAGAGCCAGAGCACGCTCTTCACACCCCCGAGCAAAGCACATAGAGAAAAAGAGAGAAGATAGCTTGGGGAGATATCTCGGGAATGCAAAGAAGTCCAAAATCTAAAACTCGCACCAAGTGTTGAAGTTCCGGAATTCCAAATAATCTTCCGAAGCTTCCAAAACCTCCGGAACCAAGTTTCGGTATCTCGGATAGGAATCCCAAAACTTCTCTCTCCTCAGACCTTTTGGAATTGTTAGAGTTTTGGAAGGTCTGGAGACGTCGATATTCTTACGTGAGAGGTTCGTCATCGGTGGGGGATTAGCAAACACACACACACACACACACAGACACAATGTCTATGTATGCCTGTACGTATGCATACACACCGGTTTTCATGTACATTAGAGAAAATGGAAGCTTCCAAGTTTGGCCGCCCAAGCCAACTTGGATCAACTTGGTTTTCAAGAACGGGACCTGTGCCAACTTCGCAACCGCTGTTCGCCGTGCTGGGAGAATCAATCTATCACAACTTGTCGTGCTGTAGGTCACCTGTCAGTGCGAAAGCTGCATCCAAGGAGATGAAAATGATGCGAGGCGCCTCGCGCCAGCCCGCGGGCCTAGGCTCCCGGCCGCGGGCTGGGTCCTAGCACTCCTGGCTGTTCAAAGCAGCCTAGGCTGTTTAGCGGATGACTATCGGGTTGTCACAGTCGAGGGTGCTTTATGACTGTAAGACTTACATGGATTCTACCACTTGAACCATGTAATCGGGACCTCCTAGAGTAGGGCCTACTGAGTAGGACAAGCAGGACATGTCGTTGGACTCGCTTTCATCTGAAATCGGAGGCACTCCGTGATTGAATCATGGAGTGTCGACCGACCATGGCTGTTGCTGGCACAGACCAAAGCCACATCAATTGGACTTGGACTGCATTACAACCAAGGTGAGTTGGACATACTGACTGCTAGACCGGGTGTCTGCCGTGAGCCAGAGCTTTCGGCAAGTTGCGAAGAGACGAAGTTTGAGTTTCTGTTTGGTGTCGTTGTTTGAGTAGTTCTGCACCCCTCTTCGCGTATGCTAGGTTCCACCTGTGTTATGTGCTTGAGACCGTGAGGGCTGAATGATCTGCTCCCTGCTGAAGCGCACGCGCAGTTTTAAAGATGTGGTTACTCTTGGGAGCCAGCAACTGCCCGGCGAGTTTCGCCGCATCTGCATTGGACCTGCTGCGACCATCACCGAATGCTTTGAGAGCAGCCCCTTCAAGCTAAGCGGGATATTCTCCGACAGAACGTCATTTTGCAGTCGTGGTTCTTGGCAGCTCATCTTAACGGTTGGCATCAAGCTACTTTCACATCAACCCGGATCTGAGTTCGGTGCAGACAAGCGAACCTGGAGCTCCAACCGGTATTTCTGAATTCCCCCGATATGCGATGAGAGGCAACTTTCATACGGTTGCTATAAGGCACAAACACATCGATGTGCACACAGGAATACGATTGTTCTGCCGCCCTAGAGCATGTGCTGCCTTCGATGCCGAAGACCTGCAGCATCATCGACTTGACCTTCCCCGAAGCTTGCAAAGCGAAGTAGGTCTAGGTACGTGAAAGTCTTGGATGCACTGGCGACAGTTCGGTCTGAGTGTTACGACGAGCGCTTCACTTGTACAAATGGACGGCAAAATGTAATGTAAGCCCAGCCGGGATGCCTGACCTACTAGTCTGACCTGAACGGTTTTCAATGTTGAGCGTGGCGGTATATCGCCGCAGGTCCCTGTGTAATTTAACTCTCACTGTGCCCCGCAGGTAGCGTCGCGTGGACCAGTGGATGTTGATATTTGTGCATGACGAAGCAAGAAAAAGCGATTTGCGCCATCCGCACCAACTGTTATCACGTTCGTTGCCCGAATGGCGGGAACTTGAACTGCACAACCACCAAGCCTGAAAGTCACCGCGAGTAATTACGACTGAACATGGATCTTGATCCAGACAGCCTCAGGGCCAAGCCTTGCACCCAATGCTGCTAGTATCAACCGTTTGCTGCTGGTGTTGTTGCGGATACTACTTGGCCCCGAGTCTTTTACATGAAAATCTGGCCTTTCGTGGACTGTACTTACTTTCCCGCAGCACGATGAAGAAGTGGTGCAGGCACGATCAAAAACAAGAACGTGTTGCAGGATGGCCTCACGGATGTGCTCCGGGCGATCCACGGCCGTGAGTGAACTCAGGCTCTGGAATCTGTAGAGCACAGGAGTCTGGGCTTCGAGGCTTCCAGCGAGGCCTTCCACATAGCAAGCGGCCTGGCCCGGAGTTTCAAGGCGACGGGCACGTCAATTGATCAACATGTGCAGAGCACTGGGAGGCAAAATATGCCGGGCAAAAAGTGGAGATTCGATCTCAGATGTTGTGCCACCTTTCGACTATGGTTGAGACTCAGACCCTCTCTGAGGGAAGTATGTTCCTGGATGGCCCAATGAGAAGCACATAGGACCCTCTTAGACACCTTGCAATGCAAGAATCGGAATAGGAGTGGGGGCACTTTTGGGAGGAAGATCGTAGAATCCGAGTTGTACGAGCTGCAGAATGGAGATGGATCTGGTGCATTCACGACGTTTCTGGCTCAAGCAAAGCAACTTGAGGCTTGTTTGCACGCTCCTGAAGCTTACGTGTAGCCGCATAAGTTGGCATAGGTCCTCGACACGATCAATCAATCTTTGAGAAGAAGTACCCGTCTTTTTGCATCATAGATCTTTTGTATGTGGATGGCATAATTTCAGGCAGGCCACGTGTAGAAATACTGACGGCATTTTCTGTAAACTGAGCTTGACCTTGGACAGCTTTGTTGGGCCTTGGACTTCCGGAGCCTGCGTGGCGTGCCGTTGCTGGCGCTAGCGCCGGCAGTCGAGGTTGTTCGGCCACTGTGCTTGAACAGGAGTAGCTCTTGCATCAGCACAGCAGATGGTGCAGTATGATACGTTGGTCGTTTGTATCTACTGTACTCTCGGCATTCTGGCTTGCATGCCTCCAATCCAAAAGTGCCCTTCAGGATTGGGTGTAAATTGACATGTTCTGGTCATCGTCCTCCTCATCATTACTACTGCCCGACAATGATCATGCTATCATCAAGCTGTGGGGATTCCGACCGACCGACATGCTTCATTCACCCTTTCTTGAAGCTGTCGATCTCTTCTGAGTCTCATCGCAAGATCTTTGCCAGGCTTGGCCTTGAAGACGCTGATGACTCTGAGGGGTTTAGGGGAGTCCAGGAACTTACATCCTAGGCTCACAGGATCCCTAGGTGGAATGGTACATCAAAGCTCACCAGCAAGGCCAGAGATGGAGAAACAGTACGGCGCCACATTCTGCATGGTCTGGGCCTTGGCACACAGCACACGTCTTTAGGGTTCTTTTGGCCTGGAGGACTTGTGTTTCGCAGTTTACACTGGTATCAGCAGCTGGAGGGCTACCCGGAGGAGTGCGAGAACAGAAGGCAGCGTCTTCTACTGAGGAGTTTATAGTCAGCAGTCGTCGTCGTAGGAGTGGTCGGTCTTTTCTCCGTAGTGGTGGCAGCAAGAGAGGGCTACTGGTAGTGTCAGCATACCGTGATGACAAGATCGAAGCACCAAAGTGAAGAATCCCAGCTCATTTCAAGTTGTCACCATGCACACAATTGCACGGATCCTGCTGGTAGAGTCGCCGAGGTCATGCTGCATGTGTTGCTGAACCGGACATGTTGAACAAATGTATGTCGGGCATGAGGGAGACTGACTGTCCAAACTCTGAAGACACCAACTTCCCAGCAAAACGATCTGGAATTGAAGGTCCTGTCAGCCTGGGCCGTCCCACTCCTTCTTTTCTTCGGAGTCCTTTGCAGTCAGGCTGGGTGGTGAGAACATGTGAGAAGCTTTTAGTTTCGAGTTCATGTATTTAATCGTTTCCCATCCAGAGGCTGCACTGTAAGTGTATATAGGTATACACCCCACCCCCACCCACCCCACTATTTCTGGACCTTTTCAAGGGCTGTAGGATGAGGGTTGCGTGGGGTTCGGGCGGTTTCGGTGTGGTGGGAGTCCTACCACCGGCCAGTGTAGGATCCTTCGCAGTAAGCAGAATCGCATTCAACCTAAAATAGCAGCAGTCGCTTCCTGGCCGTGAAAGAAAAGCATAAAAACCAGACAGCGCTGTGCGATCGGTCGTGGAGGCATGGCCGTCAGCAAAAAGGTTCATGACCTCAGACATACTGGCGCCAGTAGCCACAAAGAAGCAGCAGAACCTATTATAGGAAAGGTCTATCCTGAGGGGATTATCATCATCGTCGCGGTTCTTCTGGCCCGGACTGGGCTCTCATGCATTCTAAATGGAGGCCGAAGGCTTGAATCCTGCGATTCCAAGACCCATCATAGTCAAGCAGATGGCCGTCCTCCCCGCAGCCTAGGGCCTACCACTCCGAAACCTCATGCGCCAGGGATCGCCGATGATTGAGCTCGAGCCGGAAGTCAAGAAAGATGCGGCCTGGGGCTGCTACGGCAGTGCCCAAGCTTTGTTGAGCCTGGGGGTACAGGCTTCTAGTCGAACAGGTCACCTACTGGTAGTACTTTAAGTGAAACTCCAGGTATTCTGCGTTCGCCATAACTTGGCAGTTCCTTGAGTGCAGAGCTTGTGTGAACAATGCGTACCCAGCACACAGCTCCGAAGCACGTAGATAGCTGCGCTGGAATCTCTTGGCGACAGGCAGAGGCAGCCTTCATTATCCCTGTCATCTGATTCAATTACAGCATTTGGGGGTCATTTTAACTTATGTGTGTGTCTCCACCTCTCGTCAACGATCTTACCGTTTTGAGCCGAGTTGTCAACTCGCAGGGGGGTGTACTTTGCGCTTGGTTGTATGTTTTTGCTGCAAGAAAGACTATGCCATGCTTAATCATTCCCCGACGTCCGTGCTCCCACATGTTTTCGTCAATATTGCTTCGGGGATGCAGATTCTTGTTTACATTGGAGGAATTGGCAGGAGAGGATGACAGCAAGAAGAAGGCCATCATGAATCCTAACAGGCTCATCCGCAAAGCATAAATCCGTCTGAGGTGCAGTGCTCTACGCCCTGACCTTCTTCGCAGCCTACCAGTACAAGCAGCGAGCAGAGGGCGTCCGGCACCAAGCACTTCCTGGGTTCATGCGATGACGCTTTCCTTGTTGATGAAGCTAGTTACTTGCTAGGTGTTCGGCGGATATTTTGCAAAGATCAGGGCACCTTATTTTCTGCTCTTAGGGAGAGCCCAGAAGGGTTTGTTAACTTCAGAAGCAGGCAACGCGTTCCGCCCTGCATGTTTGGTTTGCCATGCCGTGGGGACATCGATGAGCCTTGTGAAGGCCGTTCCTGGACTCCGACGTCGCAGTCGTAGTTTGTATGCAGGTCGTTAAGAAGCTTCGGATTCGACGTGTCTGCCAGTAGCATGAAATCCTGAAAGGGCTTATCCAGCTTCCATGGTGAATACGGGCCATGCGCGAGCAAGGCAAAACCAGCTGGAACTCTTCATGGGTTGACTGTAGTGCCAAAAGTTTTCTGTAGTCACGAGGAGAAATTGCTTCGAATCGAGACCCCCGAGACGTCCTACCAATGATGCGAGCCGAGGTTACGTACCGACGGGATGCATGGCTGCGATGGGATATCGGACTTTGTTTCGGATGAGGGGGTGAACCATCCGTCCATTTAGAGAAGCCTGAAGCCTGGTTTCTGTTTCAAGCAGGTACAGGTGGTACAGGATAGTTTTTCCAGTCGTTTCTGATTGCTGACCTGGATTCTCAGGACTTCATGCAGGAGCTGACCAGTGTCACAGACTCTCGAAGGAATCGGCGTGACACGCACGTAGACTGAAGGCCCAAGCGACCTTTTGGCGATCAGGACTCCCCCCTGCCTCCACTTCATCGTAGCATAGCTTGGCTTAAGTCTGTTGCAGGGTTTGGCTGCAGTCCACGCAACCTTTGCAACGGCAAGATCCACTATGATTGACTGTTTGTTGGGAAAACACCAGGAAAGGAAGTTGCGGGGACAGGACGTTTAGGAAGTTTAAACATTTCAGGCCCTGTACATCCTGCAGCTGAAGCGCAGATCACCAGTCCAGATTCCAAAATTCCAGAGAATCCCACTTGTACAGATGCGGATGTTGCGACGAAAATCGGCGTGCTCTGTCGCCAGCATTCACTCACTGAGACTAAGGCTACTCGAGCTTGCTCGTTGTACGAAACCTCTGTTTGATGTGCACTTGGCTGCCGAGTCTGACGACTTTGGCCCCGGAGCCACATCCCACCACAATCCTAATGAGCTTTCTCCAGGGAACTGTTCAAGAACATCTTGTCAAGAAGATGTCGCTGCTCTCCACTCCGAGCAATGAATCTCCATTTTTGGCTCGAGGATAACAGGCCGGTGGCCAGTGCTATGCCATGATCAGCCCAGCTTACGGCTGGCACACACCCCCGTGCCCGCGGGTAGCAGTGTCACCGGCAAGAGCTTCTCCGGTAGTGCGGCCACCTGTTGTGGGCAGCGTCAACAGCAGCAGCAGTGGCAGCATCCAGTCCGATGTTACGAGGGCGCACCCGCCGGTGCTAGCACAGGCGCCACGGAACTGGACTCCACCTCGTCCAGCTGCTGATGCGGCTTTCGTGCAGGTGAGCAGGTGGAAGCCGGCAGATTCTGGGGCAGAGACAGCAAGGGAGTCAGGTTTACAGTGGCTGCTGAGGAACGCAGCACCAGGTACGATTCCAGCGCCAAGCTACAGCCTGACGGAAAGGTACTCGCACCGGCCTTGGACCATCCAAGATGCCATGGCCTTGAAATGCCTGGAGACGCCAAACCTGGACTATGCCTCGCAGCGTGGACCGGGACATGAGGTCCCTGCGCCCCAATCCCAAGACCAGTCCAGCAGCATGGACCATGCTTACAGGCACAGCCCCTCGGGGCACGCCTACGCCGGGGAAGATGCATTCACGGCAGTTGCAGCTGCAGTGAATGCGGCAGCCGGCCATTTCCAGTCCGAGGCTTCTTACAGCAACTCGCTTGGAAGATCTTCTCTAGACTCTAGCCGGTTCAAACAGTGCTGTGGCTAGCTGCTACCTAGTTATACCCAGTGTCCAAGAGACTAAGGACTGCCGGTCTATAAACAGAGCTTTGCTCAGTGTAGAGTGCAGAAGAACAGTGTAGTACCACCTATAGTAACTCTCATACCATCTATAGTAACTATACTACTTATAGTAATACTATAGTATTACAAGGGATGCAAAAGCCTATATAAAAGTAGCTATACTATATATAGTATGGGGCCCAGGGCTCCGATTTCTCCGGGATTCGCCGAGGCAAGCTCGGCACGGATGAAATGCCGGGCACCTGTGGGGAGCTCCTGGAGCTCCTCGGAGCCATCGCCTCCGCATCCCGGCGCCAAAGCGAGGCGGCTGCCCGACTTCAGGAGCCCCACGATTTAGGTAGCATTAGCATTAACTGATTGACTATAGTAGTAACTATACTAACTATAGTATGGGCTACTGAAGGGTACTACAAGGCTTTAGGGCGTATTTAGGGTTTAGCGGGGCCGGGAACCGAAGGTCGAGAATCAGATCTCACAAAGCTCCTCTGCGTGTGCGTCTCGACTTTCTCGACTTTTGCTTGGGGCTTGCTGGCGTCAAAGCCAAAGCCTTGAAACAGAAGTGTCGAACCTTGTGAGCTTGTCGCCCAAAGCCTCAGCACAGGAGCGCGTGGCTTCCCTAGAGACCAGCTCGGCGCGTCTTCGAGAGGCTTCGCGGGGTTAGCCATCTCAGGGTTATAGGCATCAGGGCCGTCATTCTGTGGTGCTCGTGCGGTAGGTTATGCTGCTGTTGCTGCCATGCCTGCGGCTGCTTGTGGTAGGGATGGTGTGCGTGACAAGTGGCGGTGAGGTGGTGATCATGGTGATGCTGCTCGAGGTGGTGGGTCCGTGATGTTGAGTGCTGTTTTGGCTTGTCATTACCTGATTGTGACGACGACGGTAGTGAATGTGACTTTGGTGACGGTCGCGGTGGTTGCTGTGATGATGGGTGAACCGGCGAAGCTGGTGGGGGTGCTGACGATGATGATTAAGCTTTTGGTTCGTTGAGGTCATTTGGGCAGCATACGGAGGCAGGGAAGAGTGAAGAGTTTGCAGACTGTTTCGAGTCAAGAGGACGGGCGGTCCATGCAAAAGGACGCACAGACGACGGGTCCGAAAAAGAAGTAGACAGCCTGTTGCAGTGAGCAATCGTTGCCATGAAGCCTTCGATTACGCATGAGATGTGCAGTGGAGGAGGATCGGCACTATCGAGACCACAGTATATAGGACAGCACAAACAGCTCAATCTATTAACTACTTATTCAATCCAAAGAGGACTCCTGCACACAAGATACCCGTACCCTTCAGAACCCTCAACCTTTCTCAGCCATCACGTGAGAGGAGCTCACCGCTTCCAAAGCAGACTTGCGAGAAGCCGAGAGCCAGCCGCGCGGATTCCTTGAAGCTCACAAGCGCATAAGAGCACAGTGCATGCTGGAAAGACCCTCCAATAAAGCATATGAGCCCTGAGCGCTTATGGGTTTTCTTTTGCAACCAGGCTTCCTGTGGTTTTGCCGGTTTAGTGTTTAGGATTTGTAAGGGTTTCGTAGACCATGACGCAAGAAGGGCTTGTTAGAGTTTAGTGCTCGGATCTCGAGCTTTCCAGGCATGAGTGTGGGAGCCGAGACGGGTGTGCATTGTGCATGCCAAGATTCACTTGCTAGTCCCACTGCGCAAGAGAAGCTTCCCCAGCTTCAGTATGGAGTTTGTGTTGTTATCATATGCTTCTTGGTGATGACTCTGCCGATGGGTCGACGAATGTGTTGGTTGGTCGTGTTGTGGCCCCACAGCTGCTAGCGATACCCTAAACCCTCGTACCCAAACCTTTTTGAAGCACACAGCACCAGAGACCTCGTCAGGCATGTCCGAGTTGCGAGAGCGTAAAGCCAAAAAGGAAAAAATACCCAAAACAAGCACCGAAAGTCTAGATCTAAAAGCTACCGAGCCCCGAGCTTTCGACCCTAAAGCCCTCAACTTAAACTTAGCCTGGGGCGCTCCTGCGCTTTTCTGTGACGGATACAGGCCGAGAAAAGAACACGCACATTCTTACTATATAGTATTTACATACTATCGCAGTAATTGGCATAACTAATGATAGTAATTGTCATTGTCATAAATAATTCAATGATTATTAGTATGCGTGTGTTGCAAAACATGCCCGGCTTGGAGTGCCCGGAAGCCCAGGCTCCAGGAGAGCCGCGCGGAAGCCTTGGCTGCAAAGGCGGAAGCCAGCCTCACTGCCGAGGCTCGAAGCCTCCCTTCTAGGATTCTAGGGTCTTAAAGGGTTTTTTCCTGGAGGTTTAGGATCTTATAGGGTTTTTGCCTGGAGTTCTAGGATCTTACAGGGTTTTTTGTGGAGGCTTCTAGGGTTTGTCAATGGGGCGGGGAGGGTCAAGAAACGGGGCTTGTAGGGTTTAGTGATGGTTTATAAATAGGGCTTCAGGGTTCTGCGGCTTAATTATGGGGTTTAGGGTTCAGGGTACAGTGTAGGTTCCAGTGTTTAGTGACTTGGTTCCAATTTTCAGGGGTTGCAGGTGTCTCTCTGTATGCGTTGTGCGTGTTAGCACTTTCATTGAAAGCCCTTGCAGGGCCGGGCCAGCCTGAGTTGTGAGAACGTAAGAAGCCATTACCCTGCCGACCATGCGCAAGTGTGAGAGTCGAAACCCATGCAAGGCTCGTTGCTTGTAGTGACGTCTGGTGTGTTCAGCTAGCGGGGTAGGACAATCGGCAGAGGACAGGGAGTTGATGGGTGCCGGGTTTAGGGGTAGCAGTTTGTCTTCGTGGCTTCCGGACAAGGTGCAGCTGATCTTGTGCGTTTTTTTGGATCTTTTTGGGTGCAGTCATTGTAGTGGCAGTGCTGTTGTCGTTTGACTGCCTGCTGCCTCTAGCCGTGTAAGAAGCGCGTTGAACAGTTGCTTGCTGACAGGAACACCCTGAGGTGGCGTTCTAGGGATATTCGAACACTCTCTGCTGTTTCTGGCTGATTTCAATTGCGTCCACAAGAACCCTAAACCGGTAAACCCTATGGTTAAGACATTCAAAACACTGTAACCTCTGGAAATCAACAAAAAGATAAAGAAACAACACAAATATCAAAAAAAACAAACAAAAGAAACACCAAACAAAAACAAAAACATCATAGAGAGCAGGTGGGAGGCCTTGGGAACCTTTTTTTTGGTATGTGTTTTGCTGTGTTTTTTGCTTTTGTCTAGGGACTTTTTTTTTGTGTGGTTGTTGTTTTTGTTTTTTTTTGCTTTTTTCCTAGGAAAAAGACAAAAAACCAACAAAAACATAAGGTCCCTAGTAAAAAAAAGCAAAAAAATAACAAGAAAAAGCACCCATGGCCTCCCACCTGCTCTCTATGATGTTGTTGCTGTATTTTTGGGTTTTGCTTTGTGTTTGTTTTGTTGTTTGTTCGTTGTTGTGGTTACTGGCTAGATGTACGTGTTTGGTTTTTGTTTGCTTTTATTTTGGTTTTATTTATTTATCTTTTTGACATGTCCCAGAAGTTAATGGATTTAATTTCTTAACCCTATGGAATTGCCCTTCACTCCACGCAAAAGCCCAGCTACACTTAACACAAAATCTGAAGCCACTTTAAACTTTCTTGACACCTTCGTAAAGACTTCGCCAGCTTTGAACCCTCTCTTGACCATCAATCGCGAAAGTCCTAACCTGTAGAACACCGATATTTTCACAGCTGTTTAGCTTCCATCCCATCGTCTGCATCCAGGTTCGTCCCAGAAAGGCGAACGGCCAACCGAAGACGGTTCATATAGGGACCTTAATGACTAGAACAGGGTTTTTGGGTGCCCCTTCTGCTATAATTATAATAAGAAGCTCCCAAAATAGCAGAGAGTATTATGAAGGCCCCTGTATGAGACACCGTTTGGGGGCCCTGTCAGGCCGAGCTGACCCAGGAGAAGCAGAAGTGCCAGGAGCATCGCCAGGAGACGCGTAGGCCGAGGGGTTTGGTGGATTTGCAGGGTTCTGGGTTGTAGCTTGTGGGGTGGGTTTCGTGGTGCACCGGGGTGTAGGGTTCAAGCACGTAGGGTTTTCGGGCTTGGACTTAGAGCCACGGTTTCAGATTCACGGGCTCAAAAAAACAGCGGATAGGTCAGCAATAGTCTGCAATGTCGTTTGGCCTCCCTGTTTGGGATCAGGTTTCAAAGACATGTACTGGGAGCACGCCGCCGAGATTGCCTGCCTCGTGCGAGTGTGAGCGTCGAAACTCTCGCAGGCTGCGCATCCAGCTCGAGCGCCTGGAGGAGCGCGAAGAAGAGCTCCAGGCCGGGACCCGTTCTTTCGGCAAACAGGGCTCCTGCTTAAGCTTCAATCTCCTTGGAGGGGAATCAGCGAGAGAGGCAGAGAGAAGGATAGGTTGCCTGCGCGTTTGCTTCTGTTTGCTTGTGTGTGTGTGTGTCTGTGTGTTTGTGTTTGTGTGAGTTTGTGTGCGGGCGCGCACGGTTCAGTTCTAGGTTCCCTGGCCATGTTTTTCACGATACAAAGTTGGCGTCGTCGTCGGAGTTGAGGTTATTAATGTAGTCGTGCAAGCACGCTTCAGTTTCGCGATGGACTACGGGGGAATGTGGGCGGGTAGGAGCGAACACATGTATCCCTCAATAGGGTGTTGATGCTGCAGGGGAATCTGCGAAGTCATTGAGAGGCAGAGGGGAGCGCAAGCTCAATGGACGTGCAATAATTTTATGAGCCTTAAGTCCTCCTGATCCAGAAGAGCAGTGTAAGGAACCGCCACGATGCTAAACCCATCTTCTGCACAGCAAGTATGGCTTTTCAAGGTTCCTACGCTTTGCTTGTTGTTGTTCTGTCATGTGTGTTGTGATAGCTGGTATCTTCTCCGTGTGCGATAGTGGATATCCTGTGGACTATGTGGAGCCTTGCCTGCTGTGTGCGGGTGTGAGCGTCAAAAAGACCCCAAAGCTTCAAGCCTCCAAGGCCAGTGCGGAACGAGCTCAGCGACGGGAGCGTCAGCAAGAAGCGGGGATGCAATTGACCGGATTTAGTTTAGGCTCCGAGTGTAGGGTTTAGGGGGAAGTTGATGGTTGAAGAATTATCAATCAATATCGTGCAGAGACATAGTGAAGATTGTCGAACACATCTGATGCTCATTGCGGGGCTACACGCAGCAACATACATCAGCAGCATCTTGCCGAATATAGATATAGCGGCCACACATGCATCCGAACATGAATTCTTGCGACTCTTGCGAGATGAACACAAAACGATCTGGACCGGAGCTAGAGTTTTCACAATCCGCCGAGGATGAGCTCGTTGCAGACCTGCTGCTGGGCGAAATGGAGTGGACCATGTTCTCAGGAGGGGCATACTAAGACTGAGGCTGCAGCTAATCATTCTAAACCAAAATGTAAATCATGAGATGGCTTGCCCACGCTCACATTGACCTTTGTCGTAGATATCCGACATTTCCGGAGGTGCATTTGTGTAGGGCGACGGCAATGATGCCAATCTTTTGCAAAGGGTATGGGCAACATGGACCCGCAAACGGACCAGGAACCCAACAGATAGATGGCCAAGGCTAGATGTCTTCAGAGAAACATGGGCCCACGCCAAATCTTGCGGAGATCAGAGTTGAGCATCGATGACGCGCGCATGTGGACGGGGTGTGGGGTTCAGAGTGCTCTCTTGCAGTGGGTCACCGTTTCATGAGGGTCTAGAGGCATCGCCTGGCGCTGCTACCTGCTGAATGCATGCACAGTTGCAGGGGAAGACTCCATAACTAAGGAAGCAGCAGCTTCACACTTTGAGGGAGGCGCGACATCAGGAGGAGATGGCGGAAGTTATCCTTGCAGCTGCACAGGAGGCGAGGTTTGAAAACGCTTGCCGACAAGAAGTAGCATCCTGGGCTCCGGCGGTTCAGTTAGAAGGTTTATAGGAAGGGCACTGGCTAAGCAACATTAACCAACGAGGCATGAACAGCCAGATAGTCTGCCCTGGCGCATAAGAATCCCTGAAGGTGAACCTGCTGCCGAAGACAAGTGCTCAGACTTCTCCTCCACCACGACCGCCACCCACCGTACGGCCTTTGTTTCTCGATGAAAGATTGTCATGGCCGGAGATTGTTGCTGGTTCCGGGAAACCTTAGAGTGTTCCAGATGGTTGGACTTCGAGCGTTCACGAGTCGAAGGCTTAGCTTTCTGATCCTCGCAGCTATCTACTAGGCATGACTGGCGACAGGCGGCTCATCCGTGCCCTCATGTTTCCCGCTTCCAACCAACAGATCACCAGTTCAGTGAGGTGGACCACAACGACTGGCGCCTTCGCACCAAGAAGAGCCACAAAGCAAACCTAAGCTTAAACCCCTAACCACCCCGGAAGGTCTTTGCGGTGCTTGCTGTGGCTTGCGATGCGGGAGTCAAACCAAAACCACTCGAAGCCCTACAATAGTACCCACAAGCGCAAAACAGGTGACACCGCATAGAGCCTTTGATCCTTTCAACTCCCGTGGCCCTAAGCCCTATAAGGCTCTCCCCTTCTGAGCGCCTGCTGGTTTCCTCCGGGTCGACGGATCTGCAGAGCCCGCCACCGGAGGCACAGCGCCGAGCCGTGGCTTTGCAGCTCGGCCGTGGGTTTCTATCTGTTTAGGACTGGTTCATATAGGGGGCATTCGACAACGCAAGGAGTAGTGTAGTTAGAACAGGGCTGTTCGGGTATATTATTGAAATTGAGTATAGTAGAACAGCATAGCAGAACTGTTCACGGGGCTTGGGGGACCATACTGATTAAATATTCATGCAGACTCAGACCCGTGCTCTTCAGGAGCACTCCCCGTTCAATTCAATGACTGGTGGTTGGGTTTGGCGTTTTTCCAACTCAGGACTATAGGAGCACCTGCGATTTGAAACTGATCTTGGGGTGTTGGCACAAAGCGGTTCCGGGTGGTTCACCCGGAAGCACGATCCCCTCAACTGCCGATGCTTAAGCGGCGAATGCTGAAGCTGCAAGCCGTAAACAAGCTCAAGATGCAACGAGGATGTCTCCACCGGGACCCCAAGAACAGCCCCGATTGCCAGCCAGCGAGTCTCCAGCGACCTGGCTGTCTTGGAGGTCTGGCAAGTGCAAGTTTCATGTTCCTTTCGCCGTTCTCAAGGTCCGGCACCGAGGGCATCCTCGAAGTAGCACAGTACGTCATAGCGTCATGGACGTACTTCTTTCATCGTGACTTGCTTTCATGCCAGAAGCAAGGAGAAAGAAGCGCCGCCAAGGGGACTCGTCGCGGCCAAGATCCTGCGGCTCGGGTTGTCATAGCCGCGCTCTTGGGGATGCGCTTTTTAGGACTTTGGGACTTAGTGCCGGCTTTCAGGGTTCATGGGACTCGGTTTAAGGCTTTGTGGTTTGCTTGCTTGTGCTGTCAAAGGCCTAGAAGAGCAAGCAATCTGAGCATGAAGACTTCTTGAACGAGCTCCTTAGGGGACGACAATGTTTTCGGAGCTGCCCATTTCTCGGAAAGCTGCGGCAAGGCTACGGTCAACATGTTAAATAGGAGAACCATCCACAGCAACATCAGACGAGTTGGAGTTCGTAACCCAAGAAGTTGTGCAAGGCTGTGGGTTCTGCCGGCGGGGCTGTGGATGCAACTTGCTCGGCCCGTCATGGGAGCGCCGATGTCAGACAAACATTTGCCAATTGAAACGTGAATGGCCCACTGAGGTTCTTTGACCAGCGCTGTCAGACACCCACGCCGTCTGGTGAGGCAGAGTGGCTTGCAGCCCTGGGCTTTGCAGATTCCGCTGCTTCAGAAGAAGCCTTCCTGAGGGGGATAGTTTTTCGTTTTTAGGATGCTACCGGCTGCCGTTACTATGGCTTCACTACTGGGCTCTACTATGCTGCTAATTCAGTCTGTTCAGAAGGCCCCGATGAGTGCAGTGCAAGGGCTTTCCTGCAGGCTGGTTTGGTGGGCTTACCCACGCCTTTGGGCCGCCATGTGGTTCCAACGACGTCAAAGCTCCTTCAATGAACATGGAGGATTCCTAGGGCTTCAGAAAGCTGGGCTCGGGGGTTTCCAGGAAAGCCGCAGACTTCCAAACGGCTTAGCTTTCAACTATGCGTGCCAACTTTTCTGGAGGGAGTCAGCGAGCAAGGAAGGGAGGAAGCGAATGGAGCATGTGAGATGACGTAACACGAACAAGTAAGACTAGCTTCCAGCGTTCGGGGTCTTCTCGGGCAGAGGGCGCATTGGTTTCAAGCTTCGGGGCCTGATCCTCGCAACCGCAGACACGACTTGCGAGCCGGATTACCATAGGGCCCCAAAGTAGTTCCTTTTCGGGGTTAATGTTTAGAATCCTATAAGGCTATCCCAAAAAGGAGCTACTATGAGGCCTATGGGTAAGCTCTACGGCTACTGCACATTACGACTGGAAGTGATAGTACTAGGATTGCTGCCTGGGGTTGTTACTGCTGCTGCTCCTCCCACTTGCTCGGCTGCTGCATTCGTTGACCAGAAGCAGAAGTTGCATTCCTGCACGACTAGACTCCCAATACTGGTCCTGATCATGCTTCTAACTCTCGGTTCTTACGAATCCGATCCTAAATCTGAACCCAGCGCTTAGGCCTAATTTTAGACACGGCTCTACTTACTGTAGAAAGAGAAGTGCTGCTGATGCTAAGGCCTGCCTCCGGCCCGGATCGTCTGGGGCCAACCCCAAGCTCCTCCTCGTCGGCCTTCTTTGCGCCCACAGAGGCAAGGAGTTTCCGAAAATTAGGGGTACCTTATTTGGGGTCCTTATAATAAGGATCCTACTATTTAGGGTCCCATACTATAAGGATCCTACTTTTTAGGGTCCCATCCTAGGGTCCCTTGTTTTCGGAAACCCCCATGTCAATTGCACGTTGAATGCCTGTGCGTGGGCAGGCGTAGGTCGACGGGTAGCTTGCATTTGCCGTAGAATGTGGATGCTCCAGTTGTCACCGGACGACCTCGCCGAGCTGGAGGATCTTGTGGCCAGCCCGCCCACGCAGAAGGACCGGGAACAGGATAACCTTTAGGGCTCTAGGACTCTAAGCAGTTGGGCCAGTGGAGGGTTATGGGATCATTGGGTTGAGAGTTCAGGGCTTATGGTGTATAGTCGCTCCCTGTCTGTATCGCTTTGGGCTTTAGGGCTTGTAATGGCTTGTAGGGTTCGGTGGTTTTCTTGGGTTTGGGTTGCAGGGTGTACGGCGAGGTGTAATGAGGTTTACGTCGCATATGGTGTCACAGCATGTTCTTTTCAGGGCATGCATGGATGGTGACAGGAGATGCGGCCTCGACTGCGGTTAAATCTTGAGCTTTGTATCTCTCGACTGAGCTGGAGATTCGAATTTTCTTTTCTGTAGCCGCGACTGCAACACCCGGCTGAGTTCGATTTGTGAGAGGGCAACCCGAACACCTAACCATAAACATGCATATACAAATCGTACAGGTGATTCCAGCACCCTGCACTTTCGCCCGCCTCTGAGTCCCTCAACACTTGCAGCACGGATGAGACCCAGGTTGTTCCTAGGACCCCAGTGGTCGCCCCCGTTGCCTGACACTCCGCCCTCGAGGAGTGTCGTCGGCGACTCTCGTATCCTGAGGCGGAGTATGAACATTTTGTCGGTGTCGATTTCCGAATGCTGATGGTGGCTGGGATTGTGAGCTTCATGTCGTGAGAGCCCGACCCCCGTGTGCCGAAGTCCTGCTATCCACGAACTGCCGTTCGCGCTGTTGCAAGGTTAATGTTAATAACCTTGCTAGCTTGTTGTTGATTCTTGCAGCGAGCCCAACACTGAAACCCTAAACTCTGCCAGAAACGCAGGCCCGGCAAAGTGAGGCGGGGCTGTGAGCCAATGCAAATGTGCAAGATGTTTTTTGGATAGAGCTACCGCAGAATGTATCCCCAGAATTCCAAAGTTAGGTCCCGGTTCGCTTGGGATGGAAGCCTTCGATGAATTGATTCCAAGCATCCTACAGCAAGCCTCTGGCCGAGACATATTTAGGATGGCAGGATTTTGGTGGATCTCTTCGTTCAGATACAGGTTCCTTTCCCCATTAGGAGACACGGTCCATCATGCAGGAACCATGAACTAAAGTGGCATGGAAGTGGCCTGCGCAGAGGTGCAGCAGTCTTTATTGAAAGCCGAAGTGTTCCAATGCTTAACGGCACGTTTCAACAGTGTCGTGCCGATGCGTGGTGCCCTAATTTGAGCAAGCCAATGCAGTTAATGACATGCACAGGTCCACCCTGCGATTCGGTGCATGCAGAAAAAGCCACTGCACCCCCGGGCAAGCTCGGAGGAAGGGCCCCAAATTGCAGCCCGGCTGCGAGCATTGCTGAACCGAGCTTCGTCATGCAGAGGTCTCATCTCCCTCACATTGGGCTCACTTCACCCCACGTAACCCCGAGTTGACCTGCTTAGTGGCTGCGGAACCAGCTCAAGCGTGTTTCACCCCACTTTGCGTAGGAAGCAAACTTCGGCACAGCATCTGTTTGGGAGCCAGCCAAGCCATGTACAAGTACTTGTAGAACAGCTGAAAGGTTGGAAGCTTCGGAAGGTCCTGAACCTAGAAAACTGGGTTCTTGGCTAATTACCTGGCCCGATTTAAGCCTTTAATAAGCCTTGCAGCTTCGGCCAATCTTCGACTGCAAGGCTGCATGCCAGCCACTGCATCAAGAAGTCCAAGCAAGTCAGGCGCGAGACGGGGTGGCGAGTCGGCCACCCGGCGGAGGGCCTACCAGCAGGCAGAAAGCCTCTCTTTCGGGGATGGCAGCAGTCGCTGGCTTGATACGAAGTTTTTCATCCAAGTCGAGCACTGCGGTGGTACGCCGGCATCTGGTGCGTTCTCTGTGCGGCTGGAGGAGGACTTGTACCAGAAGAAGGCGCAGGCACTCAAGCAGGACCTCGACGAGTTCTTCGGAGGATCTATCGAGGTGGTATTGGTAGAGGTGCCCACGCTCTATGCCCTAGAGGTGCGGGTCATGCGTGACAAGCATCACCCACGTCACGGCTCCGCAGTTTTCGGGGAGGAGGCCTGTGGTCAGGGGGCCAAAACCCTCTTCTCCAAAGTGGCCTCGAAGAAGTGGCCTAAAATCGATGATCTCTGTGCTCAACTTCAGGAGTTCACTCGCATTCCCGTGAGCATGCGTGTACTTTGCACGGAGCTGGCTCCGGGGGTGGAGGCCGCACCCATCCCGGGAGCAGAGAACGGTCTGGGTGACCCTTTGTTTCCGTTAGAGAACTTGACATTGAAGCTGTTCCACAGCACCGGCACAGAGCATCGCTGCAGCACCGATGAGGAGGGCCGGGCAATGGAGGTATTATTCCCTGGAAAGTTCAGCTGCATTTGTGACCCGGGATGCCACTACGACAGACTGGAGCCGGGCGAGATCGAAGTGCCGTCCCTGTTTCGGCCTTTGCAGCTTGTCCTCTTGGCGAAGATGAAGAAAGCTTGCAGCTTCGAGGTCGTAGATCATCTTGACAAGCCCTTCCGCAACTTTCCGCTGAGAATCACGCGACGCAAGCGCAGCTTGGGAGCAGAACCCCTTGAGCTCGTCACCAAGGGCCACGGCCGCGTGAAAGGCCGCCTGGGTGTGGGTCTGCACATCGCCTCCTACGGTGGCCCGGAGGAG